GATCAAAGCCTTTCTCTCGTGAAAGGCTTTTTTTGTGCTTGAAAGTCAGTACAATGAGAAAATTGATGAACACCGATACAAATCGTTGAACATCATCTTGTGCTATATTGAAAATCCATCAAATTACTTGTTGGATGTGGAGGCGGTGGTGACTCCTCATCAAATAATTCGAACACTTCAACGGCACAAGACAGCTTAGATAATGGAACGCGCTATTATTTCGTTGATTATGAATTAGACAATGATTCTGATAATTTAACTATGGAATATTTTGAAATTTTTAATAAACAGTTTAAGGATACGGAAGCTAACAAAAGTTTAGATGAATACATATTAACAGCCAACAAATTATATACTCCGCGAGATATTGCGGTGAATACAGTTGCATTAAATTCTTTGACTTCATGGACCTCAACATTCATTGGTAATGTTAAAACGGATATTAAACTAGAAAAAATTGATATCTCAGGAAAAAATATTTTTGATACGGTTTTACCTGGCTATCGTAGTTTAGGTTTTGATAGTGAAAATAGTTATTTTGAAGCACGAAAATTATTAGCTTCATATGGCAATGATCGTTTTCCACAGGGAAGTAACTGTTATCGTTTTATTTCTCGAAAGAATAACCAAGACTATTTTAGCTTCAATACAGATAATGAGTTTAATCAAACATTTGAAGAATTTAATAACGACAATCTTGGCTATGTTGATTATTTGAATAAAAAATATGAAGCATTAGGTATAACTTATCGCTATTCAAGTGGTAGCTGGCAAAATGTTCCGTGGACGACCATTTATGAAACCGATACGGGTGTGGGGAATAGTGATGCGGTAGCAGTTAAATATCAAAATAGGACATATTTGGCGGATTACAACAGCAGTATTGAATGGACGAGTACTAAAGAAATTAAACAATGGGAAAAACTGCTGGGAATAGCCACAACAGATGAACAAAGAAGAACAGCAACGTTAAATATTGAGAAACTTAAGAAAGGGTGCGCTGTATATAATTCAAAAGCTGCATCAGCTTTGGCTTCTTTAAGACTGATTGATTGGAATAAATAAGAAAAAAACTTAGATGTCTGTCTAATAAAACTTAAACCAAATTTGTAGTCACCTCTACAAATTTGGTTTGTTTTTAATAATAATTAATAAAAAACATCCAATTAGATCATTGTGGCTTTTTGATTTATAGATTTGTTATAATTTGTAGAAACATTCTCCCTTTTTGAGATTTAAAATTCTATCAGCACATGTTGCTTGATTAACCTGATTAATGAAAAGAGTGCTGTATGATTAAATGGATCATATTGGCGATTTTTGTGATTTCTGCTTTGTATATCCAAAATCGCGGTAAAGTGCGACATTCGTTTTATCGTCAATTTTTTGACCATTCAACGATACTCGCACCAATTAACTTTCTCATGTATATGTTTTCAAAAGTGCCGAATCAGCCGTATATCGACACACAACATTTTAAAGATTTAAAAGTGTTAGATGAAAACTGGGAAATGATTCGTGAAGAGGCGCAAGCGTTATATGCCAAAGGTGGAATTAAGGCTTCAAGTACATATGATGACTTAGGCTTTAATTCATTCTTTAAAACAGGTTGGAAACGGTTTTACCTAAAATGGTATGACTCAGCGCATCCGTCAGCAGCAGAACTCTGCCCGAAAACAACTGAATTGTTGAAAACCTTGCCAAGTATTAAGGCGGCAATGTTTACAGAGCTTGCACCTGATAGTCGATTAGTGCGCCATCGTGATCCTTATGCAGGTTCATTGCGTTATCACTTGGGGCTCATTACACCAAATGATGATCGTTGCTTTATTGACGTAGATGGTCAGCGTTATTCATGGCGGGATGGTGAAAGCGTGGTTTTTGATGAAACCTATATTCATTATGCTGAAAATACCACGGACCAAAATCGTATTATCTTCTTTGCTGATGTAGAGCGCCCATTAAAAACAAGGTTTATGCAGCGCTTTAACCACTGGTTTGGTAAAAAAGTGATGACAGCTGCCAGCTCTCCAAATGAGGCGGGCGATCAAACAGGGGGGTTAAACAAAGTTTTTGGTTATGTGTACCAAATCCGCATTAAAGCCAAAGCCTTGAAAAAAACCAATCGTCAGTTGTATTACTTTTTAAAGTGGTTCTTGATGTTAGGGATTTTCTTCCTGATTTTTATTCGACCATATATGTCACAGATCATTGCATTTTTTGAAAAAATGATTTGATTTAAAGCGCCCGTCAGGGCGTTTTTTTAATAACAAATTTTGACTTGAGTTTAACGCTCGTTTTTTTTAATTTACTTTCATAATTTATAAAAGCGCTGGAAAACACAAAATGTTTAAAAATTTAGCCTCAGAAATGATGGGTATGAGTGATATTGGAACAATTATTGAGCCACATGATTTCAATAAAACAGATATTGATGATTATATTTTTCATGAAGATAACGAGAAAATTTTCTTTGTCATCAAAAGTAAAACAGATGAATATTGTTTTACTAATGTGGCCTTTATGCACCTCGATGGTAAAAGTGCGATCAGTAAAAAACGCATGTTGTACCGCTACTTGTATAAGCACAACCCAATTAAAAATGTACTTTTAGAAACCGCTGGTACCGTGGATTTAGATGCTGAAATCAAGTTCCAATTAGGTGAACAGCATTTCTCTATTGATATTGATAAAAAACAAATCGAGAAAATTCGCGATCTCTATAAAGCATTATTTACCATTGGTGAAACCTGCAAAGAGATCAATCGTAAACGTAATGTGCTATTACAAAGCACTGACAATGTGCAGAAAATGTTTAACTTACGAGAGCTCAGTGAACAGGCGATTTTAAATTTACCTGAAATCATCAATCAGACTGCGCAACAAGTTGAAGATTATGCCAACCAGCGTATTCGACAAATTGAGAATTATGATTTTTCTGAAATTTTTGATCGCTATTTAAAAAATTGATGTTTAGACATTTAGTCAAAAATTAAAACGCTCGAAAGGGCGTTTTTTATTATGTAAATTGATGATTTTATAGTCATATTTAACTCGAAATTCAGATAGAATAATATTTTGTATGGGGAAACTTTGAAGAGCGTGATGCAAAAATTTCATACTAAAATTGATTGGTGGATTTTAGGCTTTTTAATCGCAATGACAGGTCTGCTGATTCAATTGCTTTATACCATGTATGCAAAAGGCACTATGGTTGAATATCCTGAGCATACAGCGGTGTATATTTTAACTATTGCGGTGATTTGGTGGCCAGTTTTCAATACACGCTATATCGTTGAAGATGAAGCTTTGATCATTCATAGTCTATTTTTAAAATGGCGTATCCCATTGGCAAATATTCAAAAGATCAGCAAAACCAATAATTCAATTTCATCACCTGCATTATCTTTAGATCGTTTGAAAATCGAATATATGAAAGACGGAAAAATCAAACAGGTCTTGGTTTCTCCAAGAGATCAGCAGGCCTTTCGTCAGGCAGTAGAAGTAAATAGTTCTCAGATTTAAATAAACAGATAATAGCGATCCTGTGTGATAAATATTTCAGAATCATCATAAGAAGTGAATCATACTGCTATTGAAAGTTCTTTCTCCCATTGGGAGAAGGCTAGGATGAGGGGCTTTTATGTTGATTTATGGTTTTAAAAGGGATTTATAAAAGAAGCTTAAAGTACAAGGCCTAACTGAGACGAGAGTCTCTTGAAATTTACTTTAATAATCAACTAAGTGAAAATAAAAAACAGTCGAAATTTAAGCGATTTACACTTGTGATTTTATCAAATATTGGTTAATAATGATTCAAAATAAATAGTCGAGTGAACCGCTATAATGAAAAAAACAATATTTTTTATAATCAATGCTTTAATTTTAACAGCGTGTGGTGGTGGATCGGATGATTCAAAAAGCGAATCAGATAAATTTGATACCCTATATTCATTTCAAGGTGGAGGCATTGACTTACTATTCGGAGCAAAAACTTACCATATTAATGAAAATAAAAATCTCTTGGTTCAAGATGCTTCTATAGAAGAAACTTCAAAATATTATCTAACACATAATGCGATTTCGACATTTACCCCACCACAATTAGATCAAAATACATACTTGCTGGGTGAGTCTGCAACATTTGATGGAGCGAAATTACAATATGCAGTGAGTAATTATATTGCTGAACAACCTTTGGTTTTATCTTATCAATATAAGAAAATTGATGTCTCTGGGCAATTGATCACTAATGATATTTATAATCCAATCCGTCAAATGAATAGTAGTGCGGCAGGCCAGATTTTAGTTGCAATCTTAGGGTTAGGTTATTCGCCAAATGAAGTATTTCCCAAAGGCTCTATTTGTTGGCAAAGTTTGTCAGCCAATAGTAATCAGGAATATATTGAGTTCTTACCGTATATCGTTGATGCAAAGGTATTTGCAGATTTAGAAATAGAAGCAACAGGAAATTGGAGTAATGTGGCTTGGACTCGATTCAAAGATAAGGAAAACACCCTATATAGCAATGTAAAGTTAACAATAGATGGAAAAGACTATCAAGGAAAATATCATCCTCAAAATGAATTTTTTTATCATAAATCTGATGAGTTGGCGTGTAATTGGATGAACCATACCGCTTATAAAGCTGTTAATCAGCCCTTTGAAAAATGAAAAATCAAGATATTTTCCAATTGAAAGCGCAAGTAATTCACTCAAGTAGACTTGAAAAATGGATGATCTAACTACATCATCCATTTATAGTCCAAAGTTAAAAGTCTACTGTGAACGAAAACGCACGTGAAAATATCGAAAAGATTCTAGCCAATATGACGACTTTACCTGGCGTGTATAAAATGCTGGGAAAAGAGGGTGAATTATTATATGTCGGAAAAGCCAAAAATCTAAAAAATCGCGTACTGAGTTATTTTGTCAAAACCATTGAACACCCGAAAACACAGGCTTTGGTTGCACGTATTTATAATATTGAAACCCTTGTCGTCCGTTCTGAAACCGAAGCTTTATTGCTCGAACAGAATCTAATAAAACTGCATCGCCCACCGTATAACATTATGTTGCGCGATGATAAATCCTATGTCTATATTTTTGTCTCCGCAGATAAACCTTATCCGCGGATTGCTTCAGGGCGAGGCAAAGGCAAACATCAAGTGGGTAAGTTTTTTGGCCCCTATCCAAGTGCTTATAATGCGAGAGACACGCTTTTAGTTCTACAAAAGTTATTTAATGTCCGCCAATGTGAAAACAGCTATTTTTCACAGCGTAAACGTCCTTGTCTGCAATATCAGATCAAGCGTTGTACTGCGCCTTGTGTGGGGCTGATTTCAGCCGAAGCCTATAATGAAGATGTACAAAACTCGATTCGTTTTTTAAATGGTGATACCAAAGAACTGAATCAGGAATTGATTCAAAAAATGGAACAGGCGGCAGAAAATTTAGAATTTGAGAAAGCAGTATTTTACCGTGACCGCATGGCCTTACTTCGTGATGTCCAAGCACAACAAGCCATTTATAAAGTTAAAGGCGAAGCGGATATTCTTGCCATTGCCTATCAAGCGGGTGTGACCTGTGTACAGATCATGCATGTGCGTAATGGGAAAATGCTGGGTGGGAAAAGTTATTTTCCCGATATGTTGGATGATGATTTGGGGCAAATGTTATCTGATTTTATCGCCAATTTTTATTTTCAGGTCGCAGATGAAGTTCCTGCTGAACTGATTGTCAATGTGAATGTGACAGACCGAAAAGAACTAGAAGAAGCTTTACATCAACAGTTTGAAAAGAAAATTCAGATTAAACACAATGTTCGTGAAACTCGTGCTGAATGGCTTGAGTTGGCTGAAATGAATGTTCAGCATGCGATTAAAGGAAAATTAGCCAATCATTTAGAATTAAATGAGCGTTTTCATCAATTGGAACAAGTTTGCGGACGACCTGTTGATCGTATTGAGTGTTTTGATATTTCGCATACTATGGGCGAAGCAACCATTGCATCATGTGTGGTTTTTGATGCAGGTGGCGCACGTAAACGCGATTATCGTCAATTTGCGATTGAAGATATTACCGGCGGTGATGATTATGCCGCTATGCGGCAAGCCTTAACACGCCGTTATAAAAAAGCCATGTTACCCGATTTATTACTGATTGATGGGGGTAAAGGGCAACTTCATATGGCGATGGAAGTTATGCAAGAGCTTGGTTTAGATGCATTTATGGTGGGTGTTTCCAAAGGTGAAGGGCGTAAACCCGGTTTAGAAACACTGCATTTTACCGATGGCACGAAGATTCAGCTTCCTGAAGACCATAAAGCTCTGCATTTGATTCAGCAAGTCCGTGATGAAGCACATCGCTTTGCAATTACCAAGCATAGAGCTAAGCGAGATAAACGTCGTGGAGGGTCGGTACTTGAGGCTATTCCGGGCTTGGGTCCAAAACGTCGCCGTGATTTACTGACCCATTTTGGTGGTATTCAAGGGGTACTTAAAGCCTCTGAACATGACTTAAAAAATGTTCCTGGTCTAGGCGATGTTATGGCACGAATGATTTATAAAGTGTTGCATGAATAATATCGTTATTGTTCTCGATGATGAGTAGCATTTGCCAAAACAACCATTGACGCATGAGTCACTGATCATTTTCATCTCACGTTAAATATGAAACAGTACAGCAAAGATCGAAAAATTGGACAGATCATGTCATTAGAATCGCTATTTCAGCAGATTGAACAGGAAGAATGGATTGATATTCCTCAAGGATGGTTGCAGGGGCGTACCATCTTTGGTGGTCTCGTTGCAGGTATGTTGGTTTATAAAGCAATTGCAACCATTCATGATCCAGTTAAAAAGTTGTTAAGTTGTAGTGTCACTTTTGTTGGACCTGTTGAAGAAACGCCAGTGAAATTGACTGCTGAAATCCTGAGACAGGGTAAATCAGTCACGACGATTGAAGTCAGATTGTGGCAAAATGAGGCTGTGCAAAGTATTTTAATTGCAAGTTTTGGTAGCCAACGAGATTCTAAAATTCAAGTGTCTTTAGAGCCTCAAGCTCCTGATTTTCCGTCACTTGATCAGATTAATATTGTCCCTAAATATTTACCTTTTCCCGAGTGTGTAAAAAATTTCCAACTGGCATGGACTGAAGGGAATTATCCAATGTCAGGCAGTAAACAACCTGATTTTTCAGGTTGGTGTCGTTTTGACCCTGAGCTACATGCCAATCGAGCAATGAATGTCTCAGATATCATGACATTAATGGATGTTTGGCCTCCGGGTGTATTGCCAATGTTTAAACTGCCTGCACCTGCAAGTACACTGACTTGGCAAGTAACGTTTATCCATCCTTTACAAAATCAGTTGAATGATTGGTTTAAGTATAAAGTGATTACAGACTTTGCTGAGCATGGATATGCAACAGAACATGCCTATCTTTGGGATGAACAAAATCGACTCATTGCGATTGCAAGACAGACGGTTACGGTATTTACCTAGTCGACAGTTTCATGTGAATCGTTTAAAGTACTAAGGAAATAGAGCTTCACTCTAAATTATTATTTACCTTCATTCGGGTAAGTAGGGGACTCACTGGCGGTGTCTATGACTACAGGTCGTATCCTGAATATTCCAAATATCTTGACGCTTGCTCGAATCGCGTTAATTCCTGTTTTTTTAATAATTGCCTATTGGCCACCTGCAATTGGTGTGGCTGGACATACAGGTGGTATGACGCGTCATATTATCTTGACTGCAATTTTTGTTGTTGCAGCAGTCACAGATTGGTTTGATGGTTATCTGGCACGAACTTTAAATCAAACCTCAGCTTTTGGGCGGTTTTTAGATCCAGTTGCAGATAAATTAATGGTGGCAGCAGCACTGATTGTTTTAGTGCAGTGGCAACCATCAATCACTATGGCATTTGCTGCAATTGTGATTATTTCACGTGAAATTACAGTTTCAGCACTACGTGAATGGATGGCTGAATTAGGTGCGCGTACCAATGTGGCCGTCTCCACGGTGGGTAAATATAAAACAGCCTTTCAGATGATTGCAATCACGGTGTTTTTATTGAATTGGCAGCCTCTTGAAATACTGGCTTATGCTTTGCTATATACCGCGGTCATCTTGACACTCTGGTCGATGTTTATTTATTTAAAAGCAGCGTGGCCTTATTTAAAACAGCCTTAATCTGCGCAATAGAAAGCAGTATACAGATCAAAGCCTTTCTCTCGTGAAAGGCTTTTTTTGTGCTTGAAAGTCAGTACAATGAGAAAATTGATGAACACCGATACAAATCGTTGAACATCATCTTGTGCTATATTGAAAATCCATCAAATTACAAGAAACACTGTAACTGGAATATTGAGAAACACGCCATTGCAGGTAAAATTAAGGAATACACATGGCAGCATTGCTTTATTTATCGAATCAAAATCTGTATTTATTGGATGGGAATAAAAGTATTACGGTTCCTTGCCAAGCGGTTGACTTATATAAAAAGAATTTAGTTGAGATTCAACAACGTAAAGATTGGAAAACCAAAGGTACGGGTGCACAGTTCATGCGAACATCTTCACAAGATGATGAAGTCGATTTAACCCATATTTTCCCAACAGATGTTGCTCTGACTACTGATCGTAAAATGATCTATACCGCTTGTTTGCAAGAAGGTACTTCGATCAATATCAAATCATTGACAGATTTACAAGAAACCGAAGGCTTAGTGTTAAGAAAGAATGATTTTGTGGTGCAGGACATGGCTTATGATGAGTCTAAAAAGCGTTTAGCACTATCCGTCAACACACAGGGCTATGAACGACATATTTGTATTTTACCTTTAGACGCCAATCGAACACAGTATTTGACCGAAGGGGATTGTCAGGATTCAAATCCATGTTTTGATCCGCGAGATACCATGCAGTTATATTATGATTCGTGTGGTTTAGCCTATGGTGAACACCGTATTGCCTATAGTCCCAAAGAAATTTTTCATTTGGATATGGGAACAGGCGAGTTGCAAACAATCGCTTCAAATCCAAAGTTTGATTTCTTTAAACCAAAAATGGATGGGCAGGGCAATTTGTATTTTATTAAACGCCCATATTCCCGTGATGGTTCTCACCAATCTCCGTTAACAACGTTCAAAGATATTATTTTTGCGCCTTTTAAAATTATTCGTGCGATTGTGGGGTGGTTAGATTTCTTTACTCAACGCTATACGGGTGAATCGTTAAAAACAACGTCTGGAAATAATCCAGCCAAATCGCAACAAAAGTCAGAAGAAGAACTATTTGTTGAAGGTAATTTAATTAAGGCTCAGCAAAACTTAGAACGTAATCAGAAGGCTGGCGAAAAATATCCTGGGATGATTCCAAACTCGTGGGAGTTGATCAAAATGACAGCTTCTGGTGAGATGATGGTATTAAAAAAGGGCGTGATGAGTTTTGCTCTAAAAGACAATTCTATTTTTTATTCCAATGGAAAATATTTGGTTGAAATTGATCAAAACAACAATGAGACCTTGCGGGTTGAAGCAAAGCTAATTTCAAAAATTATCTGTTGAGGTCTTGTGTTTCCACACTACATTTAGATAAACCAAGGCCGAAATTAGGCTTTGGTTTATCTAAGAAATTGCTTTGAGAAGGAGACAAAGTATCAGGCTTAATTAGTTTTTGATAATCGTCAAAGAGGTATGTTCAAAGCGCGATTTTAGCTTGTCCATATCAGTCAGTGAGAACGTCCCTTTTTCAGATTCCCGAGAAAGAAATACTGAAAGCGATTGAAAATCTACACGGCTAATCAGTAAATCTTGTATAGAAACAGTCCATTTTTCACCTGAATGTAGTCGCGCAATTTGGTTCGAAATGTGGTTAAGCAGATCCATTTTATTCATCCTGATGCAAGTGATTGGAAATTTTTATCTTGAAAATAAAAACTCACTGAGTTGATCACTTAAAATATTTTTAACCTGTACACATAAGCTTTAAAGCCATCCGAGATGACTATCATGTGACATTAATATTGCATTTTCGTGACAAGTAAACTTGGATATCCGATTAAAATAAATAAACTTTATTTTTTTTCTGTCGAAAAATTTGAATTTGCCAAAATATATTCAATTTCTTCTTTTGCAGCAGTTTGCAGTTTGCTACGTAAAGCATTTAGGCTCTGTTCGATTAGCGTTTCTGCTTCTAACTCAAGACGTAGACGAACACTTTCCAACTCTGAAGTCATTTGTGCATCTGTGATGCGGAATTGCCCATTGGCATAATCTATTGCTGGATAATCAGGATTTTTAGTGTATTTTTCACTATATTCTGAAATTTCAATATCAATTTGTTGACGTAAATTTTGTAAGGTCAATTGTTGATGTTCAAACTGCTGAATTTCATCTTGTTGTAGTTCTAAATTATATGCGTGCTGTAATGCTCGTTTTTCAGCTAAAGATTTTTCAAGAGCCAATTGTCTACGGATACGCGCTTCTTCAATCAGCTGGGCTTTTAGCTCAGCATAGGCGTGTTCAACTTGGAGTTGCGCCACTTGCATTTGGCGTTGGTCGTTACTTAGCCAGTCCTGTACATTTGTTGTCGGGCTGAGAAGGTCACAGATGCGGTTGAGGTCATCTACAAAAGTTTGGCGTACCGCTTCAGGCGTATCTAACCAGCGCTTTTTAAAATCTTGACCGACATTTAATGTCACCACATATCTCCTTGATATAAAATGAGAATGAAGAATTAAAGTTTAAATGTTTGAGGCGAAACACCCATTCGTCGATAGGCTTTATATTTCTCTCGACCAATTTGTTTTGCTGACTCAGCATTTTCAATAATTTCTATAATGTGACTAAATTGTGTCACTTGTTCAAGTGCTTGATTGTTAAAATTAAACACAATCCAGTCTAAAGACTCAGGTAATCTTGAAGAAATACAGATCGGTGCATCAATTTGATCAATTCCATGCGCAATAAAACTGGTCGGATCAAAACTCCATAAACGTTCATCCAGTTGTTGCTGCATGTCTACATCAGGGCAATGCAACCAAACTTTGGCTGCATTTCGTAAAATTTTACGACATAAACGACAGGCACTTTCCACCTGCCGTTCAGGGCTTTTTTCAAACAAATAAAAGCTAATTTTAGCCATTCTTTTGTACACGGTTGGCAATTAATTGCATCAACAATGGTACTGGACGTCCTGTTGCACCTTTATTTGCACCAGAATTCCACGCTGTACCTGCGATATCTAAGTGTGCCCAACGATAGTCACGGGTAAAGCGTTGTAAGAAACAGGCCGCTGTAACTGCGCCAGCTTTTGGACCCCCAATATTGGCAATATCGGCAAATGGCGAATCAAGTTGTTCTTGATAATCGTCATATACGGGCATACGCCATACACGGTCAAATGCAGTGTGTCCTGCTGCTGTAATTTCTTCTGCAAGTTCATCATCTGGTGTAAATAAACCAGAAACCACTGAACCTAAAGCGACCACACAAGCACCAGTTAGTGTTGCAATATCAATCACTAATGCAGGATTAAAGCGCTTAATATAGGTTAAGGTATCACAAAGGACTAAACGACCTTCGGCATCGGTATTCAGGATTTCAACCGTTTGCCCACTCATGGTGGTTACAATATCACCAGGGCGAGTTGCATGACCAGAAGGCATGTTTTCAGCGGCGGCAATTGCACCGACAACATGAATCGGGAGTTTCGCTTCACAAAGTGCACGAATCGTACCCAGTACAGATGCTGAACCACACATATCAAATTTCATTTCATCCATGCCTAAGCCCGGTTTTAATGAAATACCACCTGTATCAAAAGTCACACCTTTACCCACGAGCACGATCGGTGCTTGATCAGGATTGGCTTTATATTCAAGCGTAATCACACGCCCTGGACGATCAGAACCTTTGCTTACCGCAAGAAAAGCATGCATGCCTAGATCAGCAAGTTGTTGTTCTTCAAGTACAGTCACTTGTAAAAGCTCAGGGAATTCAGCTGCTAAAGCATGTGCTTGTTCTGCTAAATATTCAGGGAAGCAAATATTAGGAGGGCAGTTACCTAAGTCACGAGCAAAGTTTTGTCCTTTTTGAACAGCTTCAATAAGCGTGATCTGCTCTGCACTCAGACTCGATTGCGTTGCAATAAATTCAATATTTTCTAAAGTAAATTCATTCTTCTTCGATTTGAATTCATCATAAGCATACGCAGCTTGCGTCAAATTTAATGCAAATAGATAATGTAACTCAGACGGCAAAGCCGAAATATCAATGCTAATTTTTTGGAATTTTTTTTGTGAAGCTTTGATAATGGTTTGTGCGATTTTTGCTAATTTCGCGGCTTTAATTTCGGAGGCTTTATCTATGCCGACTAAAGTACATTGCGTAACTTGAGTTAGCTTTCCGATAAGTGGTAGAGTTTCGTTTAAACTTGCTTTGAATTGAGTGTTTTCAATTATGCTGCTCAAGTCATTGATTTTATATGTTTCTTGAGCTTGCTTAGCGTTTTCAGAATCCACCAGAATAAATAACGACTGGCTAGATGTAGACGCTGAAAATGACGTATTGATCGTAAGTTTCATGTGTTGTCTTTGTGCCTTTTGTACATTTCAAATCATTAAACCATTGAACCACTTCAAATGGTAGAATTTCAATCTAGTTTTATAATTTTAACTTCGGGTAAACTAGCGCTACATCACGATATTACCCTTATTTGGAAGATTAATTTGATTATTCGACGTTACCTTGTCAAACAAGTCGTTTCGACCTCTCTTGTGGTTGTCACATTATTGACAGTCATTATGATGGGTGGGCAATTGATTAAACGATTTGGTCAAGCTGCTATGGGGCGTGTAGATCCGAGTATTCTCTTGAGTATTATCGGTTTTCGTTTACCTGAGTTTTTGACTTTAATTCTTCCTTTGGGTTTCTTTATTGGGTTGATGCTGGTTTTTGGTCGTTTATATGTCGATCATGAAATGGCGGTACTGAACGGGAGCGGTATTAGTCGTATTCAAGTCGCCAGATTATTGATCCCACTGACCGTTATTTACTTGTGTGTACAAAGTGTCTTAATGATCTGGATGTCTCCATGGGGAATTCGTCAATATGAGCAACTGATCTCTACACAAGCGGTACGAACGGGCTTTGATTTAGTTCGGCCACGTGAGTTTATTTCTTCGGGAGCTTATACGATTTATGCTGGCTCTTTATCTGAAGATCGTAAAAATCTAAAAGATATTTTCTTTTATCAACGTGCTGAAAAAGAAGGCAAACCTGATGTCATGATTTTGGCAAAGGAAGCAACACGAATTGAAATTGCCAATGAAACTGCTAGTGTTGTCGATTTAGTTCAAGGTCGTCGTTATGAAATTTATCCTGGAACACCCAAATATAGTCAAACTGAATTCCAATCGTATCGTTTGCGTTTAGAAAATAATAAAGAAGCCAAGTTTGAAAGTGATGAAGTCGAGGGGCTATCATTTGGTAAATTGCTTGAAAATAGAAATGACCCCGTTGTGGCAAGTGAATTGGGATGGCGCTTATTTGTTCCATTTTCTATTATTGTCGCCTTAATGCTGGCAACAGCACTATGTGAAGTCAGCCCTAGACAAGGTCGCTATCTCAAACTTTTCCCTGCATTATTGATTTTTGCCAGTTTAATTGTGGCACTTATGGCAATACGAACTCGTATCAGTAAGGATGAGGTGGGTGTTTGGGCATATCCTGCAGTGTTATTATTCTATGCTGTTGCTGCCGCTCTATTTTCAAGAAAACAGAAATTAGCACCTAAGATTAAAAAGCAAATACAGCGAGTAAAATCATAATGTTAGCACGTAGAATTGTCGCAAAACATGTGACGAAAACCACCTTGCTCGCCATGTTAGGTGCGACCGCAGTTCTTGCCAGCTTACAGATCTTATTCACCTATTTGGGTGAGTTAAGTGATCTAAAACAAGGCTATACCGCTTGGAATGCATTGCAATATGTTTTATGGGGTGCACCTCGTTATTTGTATGAGATTCTTCCAATTGCTGCCTTGATCGGCGCTGTATTGGGCTTAGGCTCAATGGCTTCCAACAGTGAATTGATTGTGATGCGAGCAGCGGGTATTAGTCTCTGGCGTATTGTCGGTTGGGTGATGCGTTCTGCTATGCTTTTGGTGGTGCTTTCATTTTTATTGACGCAATTTGTGATTCCTTATACCAATGAGCAGGCGAAAAGTATTAAAAGCCATCGCAGTGTTGCGGCGCTTGGGGAAGTTAAAGGCTATTGGACACGTGAAGGGCAACGCTTTATTTATATTGATTATGCCAATTCACAAGGGACGTTAAAACAAGTTCAAGTTGTCGATTTTGACGAAAATTATCGAATGAAATCATTGTTAAATTCGGAAGAAGGGCAGTTCTTAAAAGAAGGTCAATGGAATTTAAAACAAAGTGCCCAAGTCAATTTATTGGCCAATGGTCAAGCTCAGGTTGTCAATAAAAACCAACAGGATCTAGCGCTCGCATTGCAACCGAAATATGTGCATATGGTGACCATCAATCCTGAAGACTTAGCACCTACGCAGTTATTGAGTTTTATGCAATATATGCATGAATATAGCCAAGTACCTAAGACGTATCTGTTGGCTTTCTGGAAAAATATCGGTTCACCATTTGCATTGCTTGCTTTGGTCTTGATTGCCTGTTCATTTATTTTTGGGCCTTTGCGTCAACAATCTATGGGTTTTCGTTTAGTGATCGCATTATTTGTTGGTTTGGGCTTCTATTACATACAAGACTTCTTGGGTTATGCGAGTTTGGTCTATGCACCATCGCCAGCTTGGTTTGTATTTTTGCCAATTGTATTGATGTTTGGTATCGGCAGTTATTTGTTGTATAGAGCAAGATAATCTGATGAATCAATTGCTTAGTTTAGTGGGATTTTAACTAGATTAGAAATTTAGATGATGGCAACCCGTTTTTGCCATGGTCATAGCATAGAGTCTGCCGTAAAAAAACGGTAAGATGTAACGATTAATTTGTAAACAGTAAAGAGTGTAAATCATGACGGATGCAACTGCTGGCAAAATCCCTCACGTTCTGGTGATTATGGATGGTGTGGGTCATCGTGAAGCGGTCGAAGATAATGCGTTTTTAGCAGCAAAAACGCCAAATCTAACCATGATGCAAGAAAAGCATCCGCATAGTTTAATTTCAGGTTCAGGTGAAGATGTCGGTTTGCCAGATGGGCAAATGGGTAACTCAGAAGTTGGTCATATGAACTTGGGTGCAGGTCGTGTGCTGTATCAAGATTTTACTCGTATTACCAAAGACATCCGTACAGGCGATTTTTTCGAGCATGAAGTTCTGATTGATGCGGTAGAAAAAGCCAAAGCGGCAAATGGTGCATTACACATCATGGGATTGTTGTCAGAGGGTGGTGTCCACTCTCATCAAGACCATATTATTGCGATGTGTGAGCTTGCCTTGAAGCGTGGGGCAAAAGTCTATTTACATGCGTTCTTAGATGGTCGTGATACACCACCACGGAGTGCAAAACCTTCTTTAGAAAAACTCGATGCGGTATTTGCACAATATCCAAATCAAGGCCGTATTGCCACGATGATTGGACGTTACTTTGCCATGGATCGTGATAATCGTTGGGATCGTGTGGAACAAGCTTACCGTCTGATGACTGAAGGAGAAGCTTTACGTGTTGTTGATTCAGCTGTTGAAGGTTTAGAGCAAGCTTATTCAGCCAATGAAAATGATGAATTTGTTAAAGCAACCCGTATTGGTGAAATTGCAAAAATCCAAGATGGCGACAGTGTGGTCTTTATGAATTTCCGTGCAGACCGTGCCCGTGAAATTACCAAAGCATTTGTAGAGCAAGACTTTGCAGGTTTTGAGCGTAAAGTAGTACCACATCTATCTAAATTTGTAATGTTAACGCGTTATCAAGCGACGATAGATGCACCAGTGGCATATATGCCAGAAGGTTTAAAAAATTCAATTGGTGAATACTTATCTTCTTTAGGCAAAACGCAGTTACGTATTGCTGAAACAGAAAAATACGCTCATGTGACTTTCTTCTTTAGTGGTGGTCGTGAAGATGAATATCCAGGTGAAAAACGGATCCTAATCCCATCACCTAAAGTGGCGACCTATGATTTACAACCAGAAATGAGCGCACCAGAAGTTACCGACAAGCTGGTTGATGCGATCAATTCAGGCGAGTTTGACCTTTTGGTGGTGAACTATGCCAATGGTGATATGGTGGGTCATACTGGCGTGTTTGAGGCTGCTGTGAAAGCAGTTGAAGCGGTTGATATAAGCCTTGGTCGTTTATATGAAGCTGTAATGGCAAAGCATGGTCACATGCTGATTACCGCTGATCATGGTAATGTCGAGCAAATGCAGGATTATGTGAGTGGTCAAGTCCATACCCAGCATACCACTGAACTTGTACCTTTCATTTATGTTGGACCAACCTCAGCGACGATTGCTGAAGGTGGAGTTTTAGCAGATGTTGCACCGACTATTTTAAGTTTAATGCATCTCCCTGTACCGACAGAAATGCAAGGCCGTAATCTAATTACATTGAAAGCATAAAATTATCTCTATTAAAAACTAGGTGCGTGAATGGCTCAAGCTTGGAAATATATTGCTGTATTAACAGGATTGTTGACCTGTGGGAGCCATTCAGTTTGGGCGGCAGAAAATGCTGCCGCACTTGATTTTGATGGTGATGTCGAAGAAAGTATTGCGGAAGTGCCCATTGAATCGATTGAGCAGTTTGTGCAAATTTACGGTATCGTTAAAGACAATTATGTTCAGGAAAAACCTGATGATGTTTTGTTTTTACAGGCAATCAAAGGGCTGGTAGGTGGTTTAGATCGCTATTCACGTTATCTGAGTCCTGAAGAATATAAACAGTTGATGCAATATACGGAAAGTGACCTTGCGACTGCTGACTTTGAATTGGCTTTTGATAATCATATTCATCAATGGAAAGTGAAGAATTTACGCGATAATTCTGACTCATTTAAACTTGGTTTAAAAAATGGCTTCACTATTTTTAAAATTGAAAATCAAGAACTTAAAAACTTAAATGCTCAGCAAGTCGAAGACTTATTACATGGCTCAATTGGTTCAACTTTTCAGTTGCAACTGAATGAAAAAAGCCCAGCAATCACGATGGTCAGAAATCGAAAATTAGAAGTGGCGGATATAGAGCCGGTTATGTTGCATAATCAGGTTTTGGTTCTTAAAGTCAAAGTCTTTCAACAAGATACGGCCAATGAAATTAAACGTTTAATTGAAGAATATAGCACTCAAAAAGTAAAAGCCGTGTTGTTCGATTTGCGCAATAACCCCGGTGGTTTACTCTCAGCGGCTGTTGAAACGGCTGATCTGTTTTTAACTCAGGGAACGATTGTTTCTACCAAAAGCCGTTCAGAAGGCAATCAACAATTCCAAGCCTTACCGGGTGATGAGTCGTCCAATACCAAATTAGGTATTTTGATTAATGGTCGTTCGGCATCTGCAGCAGAAGTTTTTACGGCTGCAATGAAAGAGCATCAGCGTGCTTGGGTCATTGGTGAAAAAAGCTATGGCAAAGGCGTTGTGCAGAAGTTATTTCCATTGCCAAATGGCGCTGCATTACAAATGACGGTTTCGCATTATTATACGCCTAATGGCAATATGATTGACGGACAAGGCATTCGCCCTAATTTGGAATATCCATGGGCTTTGGATCAAAAAGAAGAAACTTATTTAAATAATGTTGCAGATCAACTATTAAAACATCGTGATAGATAAAGTTGAGTGCAGAAAAGTGAATTTATAACACTGTAGCAGTTTATGCTGCTACATCTGACATTCGGCAGTTAAATCATGTTGTGTTGGGCAAGGAGGCGTTCTACCCTCCCTCCCCAACGACAACATCCATATCGCCACGCTGTAACCATGTAAAAAGCAAAAGCGTTTGAATTGATATTATGATGAAGAATATAGGTTGCCTTTATTCATCATCATCGGTATCTAAACCAAACTTTTTCAAACGGTAACGTAAAGAACGAAACGTCATGCCCAATTTCTTCGCAGCTAAAGTGCGATTCCAATGGGTTTGATTTAATGCAGATAACAGCACCTCTTTTTCGACTTTTTCCAAATATTGCTCCAAACCTTCTTCTGGAATGTTTTGTGCTTTATTCGGCATAACGATAGGCAAGGCTTTACTTTGCATCAGATCATGCTGTTCGACTTTGTGGATACCACGATGCGGAGCAGGTTGTAGCTGTTGAATATCAATATAGTCTTCATCACTCATGGTAATGGCTTTTTCGATGATATTGCGTAATTCACGAACATTGCCTGAGTAATGTTGTTGCAAAAGAAAAGCTTTGGCTTGTTCAGTGAATGACTTGGTTGAAATACGCCATTCTGTACAAATTTGCTGAAGAAAATGATTGGCTAAAATCAAAATATCACAATCACGTTCGCGCAATGGCGGGAGCACAATATCCATCACATGAATTCTAAAGAACAGATCATGACGGAATTTGCCTTGTTCAACGAACGCTTCAATGTCTTGATGTGTTGCACTGATAATACGAAAATCAACTTCGATTTCGGTATCACTGCCTAAAGGACGAATTTTCTTTTCTTGTAAAGCTCGTAACAGTTTGGCTTGCATGGCCAATGACAGTTCTGCAATTTCATCTAAAAACAGGGTGCCCCCATTGGCAGCTTGAATTAGGCCCTGTTTGTCTTGAGTTGCACCTGAAAAACAGCCTTTCTTATGCCCAAATAGCTCACTCTCCATCAACTCTTCAGAAATTGCACCACAATTAATCGCAACAAAAGGGCTATCACTGCGGTTGCTGAGTAGATGGATGAGATTGGCAACTACTTCTTTACCTGTTCCCGATTCACCCGTGATAAATACGGGTGCTTGTGAACGAGCAATTTTTTTAATCGATTCTCTTAACTTACGAATGACCTGTGAATCACCGATGAGCATTGATTCCTCAAGCGGCGCATCGCTGATAGTTTCCCTTAACTGTGGTACATGCAAAGCTTTTTGTAAAAGCTGTTGCAGATGTAATTGGTTAATCGGTTTGCTGACAAAATCAAAAGCACCTGCTTTCAGCGAGGCAATCGCAATTTCCATATTTCCATATGCAGTTAAGACTGCAATAGGCGTTTTAGGATAATGCTGTGATACATGCTTAACCAAATCTAAACCACTACCATCAGGGAGGTTTAAATCGGTAATACAGGCATCATATTTATATTCACTAAAAAAATATTTGGCTTGTTGTAAATGGTGTGCCATATGCGTTTTGATGCCCATCCGAGAAAGGCTCATTTGCATTAACATACATAAATCTTGTTCATCATCTACAAGTAAAACCAATGGTTGTCGTGTAGTCATATCCCCAAAAACCTAATCTAATCCATGAGTGGGCATTCGATACGGAAGCACGCCCCTTGTTGTTTTTGCTCTACGTAAATTAGTTTCGCTTGATTCGCTTCGCATATCGTCTGCGATAGGTACAATCCTAAACCAGTTCCATTGATTTCGGTACTAAAAAATGGCTGAAATAATTGCGAAAGATCTTGTTTTGTGACGCCTTTCCCATAATCAATCACATCGATATATACATGTGATTCATTTTTAAACGTTTGCACTAAAATGTGTTCAGCATTTTGATCATTATGACGTAATGCATTACGGACTAAATTGATTAAAACTTGTCTGAGGTGGGAGTCATCAAAATAGATCCAAACATCAGCTTGAATTTCTAATTTGATTTTTTCCTGAGCATCCCCTAAATCATGGCGTAATAAGTCATCAACAAATTCTTGAAAATTAATTTTTGAGGTATGGATCTTTTTATTTTTTGCCATATCTAAGGTATCTTTAATAATATTATTGATACGGATGGTCTGTTTGGTAATCATTTGATTTAAAATGATTTGTTGTTCTGGATCACTGCTGATAAAGAGATCATTGGCCTGCGCAATGGCGGCAAGCGGATTGCGAATTTCATGGGCAATACTGGCCGATAATTGACCAAGTGCGGCAAGTTTGAGTTGTTGTACCTTTTGATTAATTTTTTGTGCATCTTCGAGGACTAAAAGCGTGAGTGCTTGATGCGGAACAATCAATTTTTGTACGCGAATATCGACTGTATACGAGGACTGTTGGGATTCAAATTGGAAGCGTTCGCCATCACGTAACATGGCATCTTTTAAGATTTCATATAAGTCCGGTTGAAAGCTGGATAAATGATATTGTTCATGTGCGTAAAGCGGTGAAATGCCCAAAAGTAAACAGGCAGCTGGGTTACTGACGATAATTTTGCATTTTTCATCGAGCACCAAATAACCGACTTCAATCTGTTCTAAAATATAGCGGTTAATGTTCTGTAACTTAAATAATTCAAGAGATTGATAGGTATTTAACGACTCTAAAACTTGGAAGCGATTAATTGCAATCTGTCCAATGCCATAGACCATAAAAAATAAAAAAGCCAATAAGGCACTGTTACTAATATTATTTAAATTTGAAAAATCGAAGAAGCTGCCTAAAAACTGTTGGTAAATAATTGCAATCACAGAAACCAGTGTTACGAATAGCGCTTTATTTTTACTCAGCAGAAAATTTGCGGTAAAAACGGCAATCACGAACAAAATACTGATGGCTAAATTTGGCCCATTGAGGGCAAATACCAAGGTACTTAGAAAGGGAATATCAACAATAAAAAAACCGATAAATTGCCGTCCAACCCCATGCGGGTAGAATTTGAGCAGCATCATTTGTAATGCTGCGACCAGCGTAAATGCGGTTAGAGAATAAAAATATAAGCTGGGATATTCGTAATGTACGGGTTGGTGTTCAAGGGTAATCAGAAAAATAATGACTAAGCAAAAGGCAATAACCAATCTATAGCCTGAATACAGTGTGCCTAGACGGTAAATTGTTTGATAAATAGGAACCGTTACCGTAGGCGACATAAATCGTACTCAAGATAAATTATTGTTTTAATCAATTTATGGCTTAATTAGACCATAACGTATCGCAAGGTGGGTGAGTTTTACATCACTATCAAGTCCTAATTTTTCAAAGATACGATAACGATAAGTATTGACTGTTTTTACACTGACAAAGAGTTTGTCAGAAATTTCTTGTGCACTGACACAATTTACCACCATCATGGCGACTTGCATTTCACGCTCTGACAGTGCGTCAAAAGGTGAGGTTTGTGTATCAGACAGATAAGAACTTGCAAGTTGTTCAGCAATATCGGCACTAAAATATTTACCGCCTTGCATGACTTTTTTGATTGCACGAACCATTTCAGTGATCGGTGCACCCTTGGTAATGTAACCACGAGCTCCAGCTTTCAATAACAGCGATGGATAGGGTTCTTCAGCCAAACCACTCACAGCGAGTACTTTGGTATCAGGTGCGGTTTGTAACAAACGACGGGTAGTTTCTACACCACCAATTCCAGGCATGTTGACATCCAATAAAACCACATTGGGATGTTGTTGCCTTACAATCGTAATTGCTTCTTCACCAGATTCTGCTTGTCCAATGACTTGAATATCGGTCTGATCTTCTAACATTCTGCAGATGCCGGTTCTTACTAATTCATGGTCATCTACCACTAAAACAGTAATCACTTACACCTCCTTAAATTTCTCAATATCGACATTTTTGTTACATAAAGCAAAAAAGACTTGCAAAGACATAACAAAATTGGCAATCCTATTCCTAATATCCATTCAATATTTACGCATAATACGGCGTGATTGAAATATTTGTTTTAATATAGTCACGTTTGAGTGTAAATGTAAGTCATATTTGAGGTAATTAGCAAGTTTGTGAATACCTCCTTGAGGTGAGTAAGTTATCGTGAAAAAACCAAAAAAAACGTTAATGCATGTGCTGAGTTTGTCAGTACTACTCAGTTTGAGTTCTACCGGTTTTGCTGAAATCATTATGAACTCATCGGGGGGGAGCGGACAAGCAACTGTAAATTGGTCTTCTTCAGATGCCAGCCAGTTACTCAATGGTGACTCTCTGGATGATGATGGCGAGGATATTTCTCCAAAAGGCTCAACCACCTTAACCACAACAATTCGTGCGTCAAATGCTGCACCGACAACATTGACCAATAAGTCTGTACAGATTTATGACACCAATACCTATAACAGCCAACCATCGGTAAATGCGCGCGCAGCGTTGGTGATGGACGCAAAAACAGGTGAAGTCCTGTTTAGTAAAAATACCAATATGGCATTGCCTATCGCATCAATTACCAAGTTGATGACAGCAGTGATTACCGCAGATGCCCGTTTAAATATGTCTGAAGACATTACTTTGCAACAAATCGATTTTGCGGGTGCTGGTGGTAAGAATTCAAGTTCAACTTTAAAAGTTGGCGATACTATGAATCGTGCTGAAATGTTACTTGTGGCATTGATGAAATCTGAAAATCCAGCTGCAGCAGCTTTAGCGCGTACTTACCCAGGTGGTCGCCAAGCGTTTTTTGCTGCAATGAATTCAAAAGCACGTCAATTGGGCATGAACTCAACCCATTATGTTGAATCTACTGGTTTAGATCCACGTAATGTTTCTTCTGCTCGTGATTTGGGTATTTTAGTCAGTGCTGCTTCGCAATATGGCTTAATTCGTCAATTTTCAACAACAGCACATTATGACTTTAATTTAGGTTATCGCGTGTTGAAATCAAATAATACCAATGCCTTAGTACGTAATGGTGGCTGGAATATTAATATTTCTAAAACGGGTTATATCAATGAAGCAGGGCGTTGCGTGGTTATGCACACCACTGTAAATAGTCGTCCCGCTGTGGTGGTGTTATTAGGCGCAAGTTCGTCTCAGGCACGTACCAATGATGCAACCAATTTATTAAACTGGGTCAGTAATTTACCGAAACGTATCTAATCAGTTTCTCACAGCACTTAACCAGCTAAATGACAAAAAGCTCTTTAATATGAAGGGCTTTTTTTATGCTTAAATTAAGCATAAAAAATAGATTATGAGATGTGTAAATTTGGAATACTGGTGTTTGGGTGGCACTTTCAAATCGTGCTGACAAAGCAATTGATATTAAAGGCAGATAGTGTGACTGAATCAGATCTGTACTATGACCAATATGAAGAAGAATAATGTTTAGCTTGAGCAAATAAAAAACCAGTTGCGCACAACTGGTTTTTTTAGATGTGAATGCGTTATTACATATTTGAAAGAATAGAGTCTTTCACTTGATTCATTGTTGCATCAATAGATAACATCACTGCATCTTCACATTGTTTAATTGCGGTATCAGGATCTTTTAGACCATTACCTGTCACAGTACATACAATCACAGAACCTTCAGCAATTTTACCTGCTTTGATATCACGAATTGCACCACCGATAGATGCCGCAGAAGCAGGTTCAACAAATACACCTTCATACATAGAAAGCAGACGTTGCGCTTCTAAAATTTCTGCATCAGTTAATTCATCAAACCAGCCATTTGAGTCACGAACGACCGCTTTAGCATGATTAAAGCTTTGAGGATTACCAATACGAATTGCTGTTGCAACTGTTTCTGGGTTTTCAACAGGACCACCACGTAAGAATGGCGCAGCACCAGAAGCTTGATAACCGACCATGATCGGACGACCTTCAGGGTTTGGACCGGTAAACTTATCTGTTTCAGGGTCATAAACCACTTGTTCAAATGCTTCAACAGGTTGATTAGCAACTGCTTCGGTATAACCCATCCAATGCGCAGTGATATTGCCCGCATTACCAACAGGTAAGCAGTGGTAGTCAGGCGCACGACCTAATGCTTCTACGATTTCATAAGCAATGGTCTTTTGACCTTGTAAGCGGTATGGGTTGATTGAGTTAACAATCGTTACCGGCGCTTGGTCTGCAACTTCTTTAACCAAACGCATGCCGTCATCGAAGTTCCCGCGAATTTGCATGGTGATCGCGCCGTACATCATCGCTTGTGCCATTTTACCCATGGCAATTTTGCCTTCTGGGATTAACACAAATGCTTTGATACCCGCACGAGCAGCATATGCAGCAGCAGCAGCAGAGGTATTGCCTGTAGATGCACAGATAATTGCCTTAGAGCCTTCTTCTACTGCTTTGGTCACTGCCATGGTCATACCACGGTCTTTAAACGAACCTGTCGGGTTTAAACCTTCATACTTCACATAAATTTCAACATTCTTACCAATAATACCGGGAATATTGTCTAATTTAATGAGAGGCGTATTACCTTCATTTAAAGAAATAGCACGTGTAGTTTTCGATACTGGTAAGCGGTCACGATAGCGATCAACAAGTCCTGTATAGCGATTGGCATTAGACATGATGGTGTTCCAATTGTGTGTAGAGCAAATAAGATATTCTTTTAACCTCTAAGCCTCTACTCGGAGAGGCTGAGCCATTCATTGAATGGCGCTTTGCAGGGTATTGCTGCAAATTTAGAGGAGTTTAAAACCCGATTAGTTATCGAGCAATTCTAAACGAATTCGTACGATTTCGCCATGGATAGCAGGTAAGGCTTGAATTTGTGCAATCGCTTCATTCATTTTCGATTCGACAATCGGATCAGTCAAAATCACGATAGGAATCAGATCTTTTAAGCGAGGTTGCTGCATGATGGCATCAATACTGATCCCTGTGCGACTTAAAATTGTTGTTACATCTGCGAGTACACCAGTTTGGTCTTCAGCATTTAAACGCAAATAATAACCTGTGGTCATCTCATCACTCGACAAGATATGCAAGTCGGAAAGAGCTTCAAAGGCAAGCTGAGGAATAGTACCTGAACCATCTTCTGTGTAAATGATATCACGGACAATATCAACCACATCTGCCACAACCGCAGAAGCAGTAGGGCCTGCGCCTGCACCTGCGCCATAATACAATGTAGGGCCAACTGCATTGGCTTGAACCAAAACTGCATTCTTCACGCCATTTACATTGGCAAGAAGCTCCTCTTCAGGAATCAGGGTTGGGTGTACACGAAGTTCGATGCCTTTGCTAGAACGACGTGCAATACCCAAATGTTTGATCTTATAGCCAAGCTCTTCAGCGTATTTCACATCTTGTGCAGTAATCTTGGTAATACCTTCGGTATAAACCTTATCGAACTGTAAAGGAATACCAAAGGCACATGATGCAAGAATAGTCAGCTTATGCGCAGCATCAATGCCTTCAACATCAAACGTTGGGTCTGCTTCGGCATAACCAAGTTCTTGAGCTTCTTTGAGTACGTCCGCAAAGGCACGACCTTTTTCACTCATTTCAGTCAGAATGAAATTACCTGTACCATTGATGATACCCGCCAGCCATTCAATTTTATTGGCTGCTAAGCCTTCACGAATGACCTTGATAATTGGAATACCACCGGCAACCGCTGCTTCAAAGGCAACTTGTACGTGGTGATCATCAGCTGCTTTAAATAGCTCATTGCCATGTTCTGCCAGTAAGGCTTTGTTTGCCGTTACCACTTGCTTGCCATGTTTTATAGCTTCCATCATGACTTCATAAGCAGGGTGAATACCGCCCATGACTTCAACGACAACATCAACATCAGGCTGGCGGACGATATCTAACAGATCAGCGCTCTGTTTAATGCTTGCTGGTAAATTTAGATCTGGACGTGGACGACGCGTGCCTACGTGGGTAATTTCAATTTCTCGACCGGTGCGACGTCTAATTTCAGCAGCGTTTTCTTGTAGTAGTTTAAGGGCACCACCGCCTACGGTTCCAAGACCGAGTATTGCCAGACGAACTGGTTTCACGTCACACTCCAATTATGTATATAAATTATATTAAGCTTAGATCATAGCTAAAAAATGCGCCAGACTCTAGAGCCTGACGCATCTTTATATTGAGCTATAAATAATAGTAAATTTACTGATAAAAATTATTTATTTAAACGGCTTTCAATTTCGTCAGCAGTCATATAACCGCCCAGATATTCACCCTCTGCATTGTAGATCGCAGGGGTACCATTTACACCCATTTTTAGACCTAAAGCATACAGGTCACGAACTGGATTTTTACAACTTGCAGGTGGAAGCGCAGTACCAGCAATGGCTTGATTAAATGCAGCACTACGGTCTGCACTACACCAGATACTTTCCATCGTCGGTATAAATTGTTCACCACGTGGCCATGCGATATAACGTATTTCAATACCTTTAGCCGTGATTTCACTGATATGTTCATGAAGTTTATGGCAATAAGGACAGCTTGCATCAGTAAATACATAGATTACATGTTTAACCTTACCTTGCGCAGGGTAAACCAATAGGTCCTTAATATTTAAGTCAGCAAGATATTTCTTGTTTTCTGCAGCTTGTATTTTGTCACCAATGCTACTGAGTTTATCGCCACCTAAACGGATTACATCACCTTGGATCAGGAATTTACCATCAGATGTTGCATAGACTGAGCTCATGCCTTCCATGCTGATCCAATAAAGATTGGGCATTTCAGTCGGTTTAGCATCTAAAATTTTGGCTTGAACGCCAGCCTTTTTGAAATTGGCTTGTAATGTTTGAATTAGACGTTGTTTTGCATCACGCTCAGTTAAATTCGATGCCTCACCTGTTGCAGGTGCTGTCGCAGTTAAAGTGTCATCTTTTTTTGAGTCTGGATTTTTTGAACAAGCACTCACTGCCATCGTGCTTGCAATAAGACAAGCCAACATCAATTTTGAACGATTCAATTGCATAAATAACTCTTTATGTTTCTTCAGCATGATTTGAGGGAATTAGCATAACAAAATTTTTAATAGTGTACTTTAAAACTTGATTAGGGGATGTAAATTGCCGATATACACGTCATGCTCAGCCATCAAGCGCGTGGATGATATTTTTCATGCAGCTGTTGCATACGGATTTGTGCGACATGGGTGTAAATTTGTGTGGTCGATAAATCACTATGCCCCAAAAGCATTTGCACAACGCGTAAGTCAGCGCCATGATTTAAAAGATGCGTTGCAAAAGCATGGCGTAAGGTATGTGGTGATAGCTCTGCTTGAATCCCAGCTTGTAAGGCATAACGTTTGATGGCATACCAAAAGTTTTGACGACTCATGATGCCGCCATGTTGGGTTAGAAATAGATAATCGGTAGAAGATTTATACAGTTGCGGGCGAGATTCAGTTAAATATTTTTCCACCCATTCACACGCCATCCCGCCTAAAGGTACAAGACGTTCTTTATTGCCTTTACCTGTGATTCTTAAATAGCCTTGTTTTAAATTGATCAAATCTAACCTTAAATTTAAAAGCTCTGAAACACGTAAACCACAAGCATAAAGTACTTCAAACATGGCGCGATCACGCAAACCCAACGCTGTTGTGACGTCTGGTGCCTGAATCAGTGCTTCAACGTCCTGCTCCGATAAATCTTTAGGCAATGCTCGTCCGATTTTTGGGGTTTTATGGGTCGCGACAGGATTATCTAAACGAATCTTTTGTTCACGTAAAAACTTAAAAAACGAACGTAAAGCAGAAAGTGAACGGGCAATTGACCGAGGGCTTTTACCTTGTTTGGTGAGTTGAATAAGCACATCGGAGATGTCTTCATGTGTCCAATTCGGAAGGTAAGAATTTACACATTCACTACATTGAATTAAGTCAGATAAATAGGCGTTTCTTGTATGCGGACTGACCGTTTGTGCAATTAAATAGTCACGGAATCCCTGTAAAAAGCCTAGGTTTTCAGGAATAGCAACAGCGGCAGGAATACGTGGTTTCTTATTTAGCATGGTCTTAGGTGGTGTTTAAAACTTATTTGTTGATGGAATGTAGACTAAAAGAAAACATAAGTCGAATATCGTGTTTGAATGAGAATTGTAATCAAACCTTACTTGGTAATTATTCTCATTTGTATGTATAATAGTCTGTCTATCGTGTAAATTTTAGGGTTAATTGCTGTGCGTTTGTCAGACTTGAAAGTAAAGCAAACTGCCATTATCGCAAAGGTCAATCGTACCTCACAAGATAATGTCAATCAGCCAGATTTAGTGGCGAGTCGTTTAGAAACTCTAGGTTTTGTGCCTGGCACACGTGTACAAGTGATCACAAAAGGTGTTTTTGGTGGTGATCCTATTCTCATTCAAATTGGTTTTACTCGATTTGCGTTGCGCAAGATCGAAGCCGAGAAAATTGAAATACATCAGGCATTAGAAGGAGCTTCCGCATGAGCGAAACTTTACGTATTGCTTTAGTGGGAAATCCTAACTGTGGTAAAACTTCACTTTTCAACCATTTAACCGGTACACGTCAAAAAGTTGCCAACTATGCTGGGGTGACTGTTGAACGTAAAGTGGGTACATTTAATTTACCTTCTGGTCGTGCGGTGCGTGTTCTAGATTTGCCTGGAACATATAGCCTCGATGCAGCCAGTCCTGATGAAGCCATTACCCGTGATGTCGTTTTAGGGAAAATTGCCGGTGAACAAGATCAACAGGCATTTTTATGTGTGGTGGATGCAACCAACTTAAAATTACATTTGGGACTTGTTCTTGAAGTCATTGAACAAGGCAAACCGATTCTGCTTGTATTAAACATGATGGATGAAGCGCGTCGTCGTGGTATGCAGATCAATACCCAAAAATTATCACAGCGTTTAGGTATTCCTGTGGTGGAAACGGTTGCTGTGCGTAATGCAGGGATTGAAAACTTGATGGGTGCTTTGGAAAATGAAAAATTCCACACACCAAGTGCAGAACTGAGTGATGTTAAGCTTTCAGGTTCCAATCATGAAAAAATTGACCAAATCTTAAAAGATGTGGTGGTTTTTTTGGATCATGAAGACAAACGTACTGATTTTCTCGATAAGATTTTTTTACACCCCGTTTTAGGACTTCTTAGCCTTGCGCTGATGATGTTTATTGTTTTCCAAGCAGTATTCGCTTGGGCAGCGCCATTTATGGATGGTATTGAAGAATTTTTTGGCTGGTTTGGTGGCTGGATTGGGCAGTTTATTACCCAGCCACTACTTCACAGCTTAGTGGTCGATGGGATCATTGCAGGTGCAGGTAGTGTAGTGGTGTTTTTGCCACAGATTCTAATTCTGTTCTTCTTTATTTTGGTTTTAGAAGAGTCAGGCTATCTACCGCGTGCGGCGTTTCTACTCGATAAATTAATGTTTAAAGCAGGCTTAAGTGGTCGGGCGTTTATCCCACTGTTATCCAGTTTTGCCTGTGCTGTACCTGGGATCATGGCGACTCGAAGTATCAGCGATCCACGAGATCGTTTGGTGACGATACTGGTTGCGCCGTTGATGACATGTTCAGCGCGTTTGCCAGTGTATGCCTTGCTGATTGCTGCATTTATTCCAGCGAAAATGGTTTGGGGCTTCCTTAATCTACAAGGTTTAGTGCTCTTCGGTTTATATATGGCGGGAATTGTGAGCGCACTCATTGTTGCGACCGTGCTGAAATTTTTCCAGAAAGATAAATCACAACATGCTTTATTGATGGAATTACCAAGCTACCGTATCCCAGATATAAAAAGTGTATGGATTGGTTTGTTAGACCGTGCCAAGATCTTCTTAAAGCGCGTCGGTGGCATTATCTTCGCTTTATCGATTTTATTATGGTTCTTATGTACATTCCCTCAACCGCCAGAGGGTGCAACTTTACCAGATATTGACTACTCTTTTGCCGGAATGCTGGGGCATGTGATGCACCCAATCTTTGAACCGCTTGGATTTAATTGGCAAATCTGTATTGCTTTAATTCCAGCGATGGCAGCACGTGAAGTTGTGGTTGCAGCATTGGGTACGGTTTATGCTTTATCCGCAGCGGATGATGATGCAGTTGCTCAAGGTTTATCACATCTGATCAGTCAGGGTGATTTAAGCTGGTCAGTTGCAACAGGTTTATCGTTGTTGGTGTGGTTTATCTATGCACCGCATTGTTTAGCGACATTGGCTACGGTAAAACGTGAAACAGGTTCTTGGAAAACTGTTGCAGGTATGACGGTCTATTTATTTGGTTTGGCTTATTTAATGGCTTTCCTCACTTATCAAATTGCGTCAGGTTATTTTGGTCTATAAGCCAGAATCTTGAAGCAAAGGAGCTAGAGATGATTGAATTATTGATTATTGCGGTATTGGTGATTTGGAGTGCAATTTTTGTATTTAAGAAAGTCTTTCCAAAGTCAGCGTATTCGGTGTTTTCTAAACTGGCTCAATTTTGTCAGTCGCAAGGTTGGAATCGTTTAGCCAAATGGATTCAGCCTGCGATGGTGAGTGGATGCGGTGGCGGTTGTGGTTGCAGTAGTGCTGAAACGGACAATCCTAAAAAGGTTGAAGTCCAAGCAGTAAAATGGAAATGATTGGCCTCTAAATTCATTACCCTAAAAAGAAAAAAGCCATTCTAGAACATAGAGTGGCTTTTTATTTGTATGTGGGAATAGTCCATAAAAGATAATTTATCTCGTTAGCAGATAGGCATATCTTGAATGATCCAATGCTGCAAAAAGCAATTTAATTTGAATACTGAGGTTGGTAAAACATTAACAACACTTTAGCTATGGGTTTCTTCCTCACCATCATCTTCAAAAGTTCGTGCAATTTTTTCGATATTTAAGCTTTTAGCCATCGCATCAAAAATTTCCTTATAAGCACCATCTTGATGATAAAGATCATGATGTTCACCATGCTCAACGATTTGTCCTTCTTTCATCACATAGGTGTAATCGGCATCAATAATTTGTGAAAGGCTATGCGAGATCATAATCACAGTTCGACCTTGTTTAATCTCATCTAAGCTTTGTTTGATTTGCTCTGAAGCGATGGCATCTAAACTCGCTGTGGGCTCATCTAAAAAGATAATAGGCGGGTTTTTAAGGAACATTCGAGCAAGTGCGATACGCTGTTGTTGTCCGCCAGACAATAGCAAGGCATCTGCTTCATAGGCATGGGGTAATTTTAAAATCTGCTCATGAATCGAGGCTTTTTTTGCAGCTGCGATGACTTCTTCATTGCTTGCATGGGGCTTACCATAACGAATATTTTCTAAAATTGAGCCTTGGAAAATATGGTTTTTTTGCAATACCAAGCCAATATGTTCTCTTAAATAGTGTGTATCGAGTTGCTCTAAATCAATCCCATCGAGTTTGATACAGCCTGAATTCGGGGTATAAAATTTATCCAGTAGGCTGATTAAGGTTGATTTTCCCGCACCTGATAAGCCCACTAAGGCTGTGATTTTATTGGGTTGAATAGTCATGTTAATCCGATGTAAGGCTTGATGACCATTCGGGTAGATAAAATCAACATTTTCCAATTCAAATTTGCCATGAATTTGAGGTTTTATTAAACCACTGGCTTCGATTTCATGATCTGCTTCTAAGATACTAAAGAAGCTTTCTGAATAGATCATTGCTGAGTTAATTTCATCATAAATACGATGCAAAGAGCGGATCGGTGCAGACACGTTATTGAACAACAATACATGGTACATGATCATCCCTATACTCATTTGTCCATCTAAAACAAAGTAAGCAGTTAAAATAATAATCAGGACTACACCAACTTGTTCGATAAAGGTTTTTAAACCATCAAAGATATAGCTGGTTTGTCGAGTTTGCATCTGATTTTCAGTCAGTGACTTTTGTAAGTTCAGTTGCTTGGTGGATTCAACAGCCTCTTTATTAAAAGATTTAATCACTGTAATTGAGTTAATAATACTCAAAATACCTTGATTCTTCTTTTCCATATTATCGCGCAAGGCTCGACGTTTGCCGGAAAGCTTTTGTGATTGTTTAAAGGTCAGCCAAAAGTAGATTGGTACAATGATTGTTGCGACCACACCCACCCAAAAATTGGCATAATACATTAGGGCTAAAGCGATAATTGCACTGGTAAATAACGGTAAAATATCAATAAAAAAGATTTGTACCAGCCGAGTGAGCGAGCTAACTCCACGGTCGATACGGGTTTGTAATTTTCCTGCTTGGTTATTTTTCTGATCGAAAAAGGCCAATCGATAGGTAATAAATTTTTCGATAATGCCCTGAGATAGATCCTGTGAAATTAAAATTCTGAGTTTTTCACCAAATGATTTTTGCCCAAATTGAACAATTGCATTGATGACTTCTTTGGCCAATAAAACCACAGTAATGGTAATGATAATGTGCCATCCATCCGCTAGGCCTTGTCCTGCTTGGATCAGCTGGTTAATGCTGTCTACAGCATATTTAAGTGTGAGGGCATTGACCTGAGCGGTGAGTGAGCCAATCAACGTTAACACTAAGGTGACGATGACAAGCCAGCGGTAGGGACGTACAAAGGGGCGTAATTTTTTGAAATAATTGCCATAAATTCATAGGTTTTTTGCTTTTTATCAGCTTGGTTTTAGTCTAAAGCTGAATAAACTTTGCTACAAGTGATTGCTATGTTTTGAATTGTGAAAGATTTTAATAATGTCTTACACTAGTCCAAATCTTCACGATCAAAATCCTCTTGAAATTGGTCTGCTAATTTAAATCCGAGTTGATTAAGCTTTTCAAAATACTTGAGATAGTCTTGATCTTCCATATCATATGGAAGATCATCCCATAAAAAGTGAACCAGCCATTGATACCAACGGGGTGGTGCTGGATAACGATGCAAATAGTTGACCTTTTCAGCAAAGCTCATTTTTTGCTGACTCATCCATTCATCTAAATACATCATATGCGATTCTCCGCTTCCCATTCTCCATCCTATTGAATAAGGATGGTATTCTGGTGCAAAAATCCATGGCGGTGGGACTTCGCCATATTTAGCTAAATAGGCTTGCACGCCTTCTATATACCACTGTTCATTTGAATATTTACCCATGATATGACCTGCTATTCTTCATATTAAAGTTGTTCAATTTTGATCAAAAAGGACTTGTTTCATGTTAAATATTGATTCATTGTTGGATGAACCAGTCGCTCATTTTAGACAATGAATTTAGATTTATTTGAACCTGAAGCACAAGATAATTTACTACCTTATGATGGGGTAGTAAAAGACTTTGGCTTAATTTTGGATCATGAACAAAGTCAAAAATATTTAAATTATTTTCTACAGCATTTGGCTTGGCAACATGATGAAGTTTATTTGCATGGTCAATATTATAAAACTGAGCGCAAAGTGGTGTGGTATGGCGATGATGATTACCAATATCATTATTCTGGTATGGCAAAACAAGCCCATATTTGGAATCCTGCTTTATACAGACTCAAACAGCATATTGAGCAACTCACAGGGCAAACCTATAATTCCTGTTTGGCAAATTTATATGAAAATGGCTCACAAGGCGTGGGTTGGCATAGTGATGATGAGCCATCATTGGAAGCACCTAACCACAATGTGGTGATTGCTTCATTGAGTCTAGGTGCTACTCGAAAATTCAGTTTTAAGCACAAGTGGAAAGCTAAAAAAGTAGATTTACTTTTACACAGTGGTCAATTGATTGTGATGCAAGGACAGACCCAACGTTATTGGAAACATACCCTCGCCAAATCTACACGAATTTTAGCGCCTCGTGTAAATTTGACCTTTCGTTACTTTTATCCAAGTGGATAAAGCTTGTCATCAAATTGTTCAAGTTTAGGAAAGTCTAATGCAGGTAAATTTTCTAAGTTATGTAAATATTGCTGATAATCAAGCAGGATTTGTTGACGTGCTTCATTAGAAATATAAGGGACATGGTAAGCGGTAAATGGTGGCAGCACGTCAAAGCCTGCATAAGCTAAAGTTCCACGTTGAATCGGCAGTAATAAATCTTCAATTGAACCATGAATTGCATGATCACCAAACATATGTTCACGGCCACCCAAGGTAAAGCTTAGCAAGGCTTTTTTCCCCACCATGCCGCCGTGGTTATAAAAACGTTTACCACCATAGAAAATACCCGAAACGAATACGCGATCAATCCAGCCTTTTAAGATGGCAGGTACAGATGTCCAATACATGGGGAAACTTAAAATCACTAAATCTGCTTTTTGTACTTTTTCAATTTCAATCTGAATGTCTGCGGCAATCTGCTTATTTTTATAAGCATGGCGTTGTTCCAAAGCATAATTCATATATTCAGGATGACTCAGTTCTGAGAAATCCTCTCGTGATGCGATTGGATTAAAATTCATGGCATACAAGTCTGAAACCTCAACTTGATGCCCTAATTTTTCCAAGACCTCAACAGCATGATCTTTCATCGCGGTTGTAAATGAAAGGGGTTCGGGGTGTGCATGGACGATGAGGATATTCATAACATTCCTTAATTAAAATTATGCATCATTGTTATTGGCTGGTTTAGATTATTCCTCAATGAAAATGATTCGCCAATTACTCTAATTATTTTTTTTAATGGCTTAAAAGTAAACTCAATGGATAAAAAATTTTGCACATAAAAAAGCCTATGTTTAAACACATAGGCTTCCTTACTCTGAGGAGGAATTGTCTTCGCAAAAACAATGTCCAAAAAATCATGGTTTAATGAAGAACATAATCATATTATGAGAATACAGAAACATTATCAAGAGATAAAAACATTACAAAATGTTAAATTATCAAGATAATTGCGCTTATGGGTGAAATTCAGATAATTGGTCATTGGCAGAGAGTGCTTGATAGCGTTTTTCAATCTGTGCAGCAGACTCTTGCAAGGTCTCAATTAGTTTTGGGGTGTTGACGTATTCAAAACGATTTTTTGAAGCAAGTACGGTCAATGCTAAAGGTGCTTCTTTACTTGAAAACTTCACTGGGATAGATAAGCCAGAAACATTTGGATCAAGTTCGCCTTGTGAAAAATAATAACCTTGTTTTTTAATTTTTTTCATTTTATTAACAAAGGTTTCTTCATTTTCAGCAAAACCAACTTCAGTTAATTGTGTTGCAAAGCGAAGGTAATATTCATGAATTTTCTGTTTAGATAAATGCGCCATGATCACTTTAGGTGAAGAGCCCATAAATACGGGGCGAGGGCAACCACGACCATAAGAAAGTAAAGTTTCATCACGATACACCTCATGATGAACATCAATACAATAGTCATCATTTAAATGTGTCAGTAAACAGCAAAGCTCTGTACGTTCTGAAATTTCTTGCATAAATGGTTTGCTGATTTGAACCAATGGATCGGTGGTTCTAGAAATATAGTCCATCACAGCAATTTTAGGACCAAGGGTGTAATCGCCTGAAGTTCCATTTAAGCGTTGCAAAATATCAGCCGAAACTAATTCTTTTAAATAGCGATAGCTGGTCGGTTTAGATAAACCAAGCTCTTCACAAATCACATCGACATTAATTACTGGGCGAGACACCGAAAATAAATCCAATACGGTGAGAATTTTGCCAAAACTGGAAAGTGCCATTGATGACCTACTCAATTAGTGAGAATCAAAAAAAATAATAATGAATGTTACTTTATAACAAATTGTTCAAGAAAAAACAGTGGAATTTGCATTGTAAATGCAAATGATTCTACATTTTTAACTTTAGTAGTTATTTTGAGAAAAAGCACTACATTTGAACATTAAAGTAAATTATATTTAGTTATATTATCAAAATGAGATATTTTTATTGATTATTTGTGTTTTTTTTGAGATTATTGCTGATATGAATATCCAATGGTGAATTTATACTTTTCTAGAAGTATAAATTTTTATCATAAATTGAGTCCTTCTCTACTCAATCGTTGTATTTGAGCAAATGCCTAAATTTGTTCTTCTATTCACATCTTTTTTTTAAACCACACTGTTTATTTGACTAAGCGGTGCGGTCTTTTGGTCTATAAGAAAAGAAAATGTGATGTGTACAACAAACCCTTATAAAAGTGGTGAATATCAGCTTCCTTGATCTTAGAGAGCTAGAGATGACAGAGAAAATCAATGAAATTGAATTTATAGTGAGTTGCTTGCATGTTACTGATCAAACCCTTATTGGCTTTTAGACCCAATAAACTCGATTGGATTTTTGCGAGCAAAACTTTCATTGCAGGAATGCTGGCACTTTATATTGCATTTGAACTCAACCTGAGCTACCCGATTTGGGCGATCGGTACAGTCTTTGTGATTGCCAATCCTTATTCGGGCATGATGGCATCAAAAAGTATCTATCGAATTTTAGGAACCTTGATCGGAGCAATTTTTGCTATCGCAGTGATGCCTCATTTGGTTAATACCCCTTGGTTATTTACCTTTGTACTGGCAACTTGGGTGGGGCTCTGTCTATATCTGTCTTTAATTGACCGATCACCACGCAGTTATGTGGTGATGTTAGCGGGTTATACAGCAGTGATTATTTGTTTTAACTCGATTTATTATATCGAGACGGTGTCCATTTTCGATATGGCTGTGGGGCGTTTCTTAGAAATCTCGTTGGGTGTGGTGTGTAGTGCTGTGGTCTCTGCCACTATATTTCCTATGCATATTGGGCCTGTGGTCGAACTCCGTGTCACTAAAACCATGCAAGACACCAAACAGGCCTTTGACTCAATCTTGTCTGATCCGGCACATACAGATAATTATACTCAGCTATTGACCAATATCACGCGTGATACAACAGATATTCATAGTATGGCTGTGCATCTAAGTTATGAAACTTCAAAATTTAAGGGCATGACCAAACCACTCCAAGAGTTGCTACATCAAGTGACGATGTTGGTGGCTAACTTGGTCGCAATGTCAGAACGGATCAAACAACTGGATCAAATTGATTTAACTTATCGTCCGTATCTGCTTGAGTTTCATCAAAAGATTGATGATTTTTTAGAAAGTGAGAATGCCATTCTTGAAGATGAGCTTAAGCACTTACCTGAACATTTTGACCAAGAATTTCAAACCATCACTGAACATGCAACTGCTAAACAACAGGTGATTTTGGGCAGTCTAAAAATGGATATTCGCCATTTTATTCAAAATGTTCGTGCAGTGAAGTTTATTTGGCAATGCATGCAGCAAGGTAATCATAGCTTACCTGAATCCATTGTACCTTTAACCACAACCTATCCCAGTTTACATCGTGATTATGGCGTTGCAGTACGTGGCGGGATATCGGCATTTTTAACCACTAACATTGCCTGCGCATTTTGGATTTTAAGTGGCTGGAAAATGGGATTTATGGTGGCAGAAATGGCCGCAATTACAGCATGTATTTTAACCTTTTTAGATGACCCTGTACCTGCGCTAAAAATATTTATCCGCTCCAGTATTTATGCCGCTATTTTGGTTTTTATTTATGCATATGGGATTTTTCCACATATCACCGCATTTTGGGAGTTAGCCGTTGTATTAGCCCCCTTTATTATGTTCTGTGTGATGTTGTATTTACATCCGCCTTTGCATGCACTGGGTTTACCGCTGATTATGAGTACGATTATGGGGTTAAATCTGCAAAATCGTTATTTGATGGATCAGATCACCTTTTTTGATGCTTCGATTGCAACCGTGATTGGGCCGATTATCACGGTTTGTATTATGCAAATGGTACGTTCAATGTCTCCTGAAATGACAGTAAAACGGATGTTGGCTTTACACTATAAAGCTATGCGGGAAAGTATTGCGATGTCTTATGGAACGGGCTTTAGAATTCATTTACGCAGTATGCTTGATCGTATTGGCGTGTTAAATACCAAATTGATTCAGTCAGAACAGCTCAAAATCGAAATTAACAATGCTTTGATTGAGTCGAGTGCTGCTATTGATTTAACTCGCTTGCAGGAGTTGGTCCAAAAATTATCGCCTGAATCTACAACAACTGGTGCAATTGTTAAATTACAAGGCCTACTTAACCAGTGGTTAAGCGAAAAAGCAATAACTCAGCCTGATGATAATTTACGACAGGCATTGATTCAGCAATTTGATCAAGTCTTGCAAGATGCGCAAGCGGTAGGTGATCAAGATATCCGACAGCGTATAGAAATTTCTGTGAATAATATTCGCAATAGTATTTGTCATATTCATCTGGTTGATGCGCAACCTTCAACTGTTCTAGTGGGAGCATAAATATGGGTGAGCTCAACATTTATGGTGTTTATGTCCCAATATTTTTAATTCAAGCAATTCTGGCATTCATCATCTGGAAAGTGGTGTGTATTGGTACAGATCGCTTGGTTGAAAAAGAATGGATTGCATTGCCTGGGATTTTTAACATCTGTATCTATTTGATTTTATTGTGGTCGATTCATTGGGTATTTATTCAGGTGACGACTTAGCCGCTGCAATAGAGCTGATTTACTTTTAAGTTTAATGATTGGAAAATTGAAATGAATACGTTTGATATACGTAAGGCAATCCGGCCGATATCATTGGGTATCGTGGTGATTATTGCGATATTTTGTGCGCTGCATATCTGGAATTACTATAATGCAGAACCTTGGACACGTGATGGGCGTGTCCGTGGCGATGTTATTCAAGTGTCTTCTGATATTGCTGGCTTAGTCACAGAGGTGATGGTTCAAGATAACCAAACAGTGAAAAAAGGGCAGGTGCTTTTTAAAATTGATTTAGCACGCCAAACTTTAGACGTGGAACAAGCAAAATCAGATCTTGCAAAAGCCCAGTCAGGACTGGCTGAAGCAGAAGCGGGGCTTGCTGAGGCAAAAGCCAATATTGTCAAGTCAAAAGCCAATATCAATCTTGCAGATAAAAATGCACGTCGATATGCAGACCTGATGAATGGTGCGATCTCTAAACAAGAACAAGATCAGATGTTTGCTACACGAGATCAGTCTCATGCAGAGCATCAGCAATTGCAAGCTACGGTACAACAAGCAGAAGCCAATATCAAACAACAAAAAGCCTTGATTGAGGCAGCAACCAGTAGTGTGCATTTGGCGCAATTGAATATGCAACGTTCAGAAGTGATTGCACCTGCAGATGGAACATTATCAAATTTTGATTTGCGCGCAGGGAATTATGTCAAAGTTGGGCAAGCTGTTGCCGCTTTACTTGATCGTAAACAGCTCTATGTTGTGGGATATTTTGAAGAAACCAAACTCAATAAAATACATCTAGGTGATCCAGCAACAGTACAGCTCATGGGGGATTCTTTGAAATATAAAGGCCATGTTCAAGGGATTGCGTCTGGGATTGAAGACCGCGAACGAACAACTTCATCGGGTTTATTGGCCAATGTGAATCCAACATTCAGCTGGGTGCGCTTGGCCCAACGGGTACCTGTGAAAATTATTTTAGATGAAGTTCCCCATGATTCATTGGCCTTTGTTGCAGGGCGTACCGTGACAGTACATATTTTGGAAAAAGCAAAAAAATAACCAGTATCCATCATTAAACTTTGATCTTAAAGCCCATTGAAAAATGGGTTTTTTTTATAGATTTAAGTCTGCCATAGCGGGCATATTAATTTCTTTAACACAGCTGGCTTGACTGGTGGATAAGATAAACTTGATGGCAAGAATAACATCCTGTAAGGGAATTAACTCATGGCCACTCTGTTGTAAAACATCTTCTATAGATGTATTTAGATCAAACTCAGTGGCCAAGTAGCCTAAATTTAATATACTCACCCCAATCTGGTCTTTGCGTAAACTTTCTCGGAGCGAATGGACAATGCCTCTGAGGGCGAATTTGCTGGCTGAAAACACCACTTCTTTGCCGTTATGATTATCTAGTCCCCAGGTTGAACCAATCAAGATAATTTTTGCATTTGGAGACAGTCTAAGATTCTCAATCAAGGATTGAATTGCCAAAATACAGGACTGAATATTGGTATGAATTAAATTTGATATTTCAATGTCAGTGCATTGTTCAAAGTCATAATCTGCTTGGAAGGCTTTTGTTTCCCAGATCCCGACATTGTAAATCAGATAATCTATAGGCTGGTTTTGAATTTGATTTTTAACTAAATCCCGAGCATGTTCAGGTTTTGATAAATCAGCAGAGATCCATTTGAAATGAGGATGGTCACACTGTGGTTGAGAACGTGAAATACCAAAAACCAGATCTTGTGTTTGAGGTACTGCGTGTAAAATAGCTTGCCCCAAGCCTTTGCTTACACCATAGATGACATAGGTTTTTGACATTTTTAATGCTCAGTTTAAGGGTTAATTCCTTCTGGGTTTCGATACCAACTTTCAATAAATAAAGCAGCTGCAATACTATCCGCTGCTAATTTCTTTGCTCGCCCTTGCGCGTGATAATGATCGAGTTCATCTCGTGCTTCACGTGTGGTTAAGCGCTCATCGACCATTAGGGTTTCAATATTGGTTTGATGACGTAAACGTCGTGCAAATTTGCGTGCGCGTGTGGATAATTCTGACTCGGAATCATCCATATTTAAGGGTAAGCCGACCAGAAATAAATTCGGTTGATGCTGTTTGATGATCTTAAGCAATTCATCCCAATTGGGGATACCATCTTTCATTGGAAAAAGTGCAAGCGGTGTTGCACTTTCAATGATGGAGGAGCCTACAGCCATTCCCGTTTTTTGTGTACCAAAATCAAATGCAATAATCAGTTGTGGGGAATTTAAATCAGGCATGTCCAATCTCAGAAGATAACCAAGTACGATCAATCCCTATTTTACGATAAGCTGCATCCCAACGGTCGGTATAAGGCAAATTAAACACCAAATCCATGTCTGAATCACAAATCAACCAATCGCCACGGGTAATTTCATCTTCAAGTTGATTTTTAGTCCAGCTGGCATAGCCCAATGCAATTTGATAACGACCTACACCTTCATTGTGTGCAATCGCATCTAAAATATCTTTGCTGGTGGTAATACACAGATTTTCACCTACGGCAATCGAAGAGTGCCAGGTTGGTTGTCCTGTATGAATCACAAAACCCGCTTCAGGACGCAATGGACCACCTTGCAAAACTTCATGCGGATGCACATTATCTGCTTCAATTTCTAAGTCATTCAAAAGTTCTTTGACTTGAATACCTGAAGGTCGATTGATAATAATACCTTGCGCACCATCTTCATCATGACGGGCAAGATAGATTACCGTATTGGCAAAGAAATCATCAGCAAGATCAGGTGGTGCAATCAAGCAGCGATGAGAAAGATATTGTTTTGGCACCGATATGCAACTCCTTTTCAATCCGCTTAAATATTTTTAATTGTTTAAATAAAATCTATATCTATATAAATAGCACAATTAATATCAATAGGTTGTGAATATTTTAAAAGCCTGCAAAAACAGCCTAAGTTTTTCATCAATATGTTTAAAATATAAACAAAATGGTGTCCAAATAAAAATGTGCATCTCTATAAAAGCGATGACAATAGGGCGAATGAATAGATGAAAGTGCTTCTATTCCAAAATAGGAATAAAAAACCAGTCGCGTGCTGACTGGTTTTTTATATGGGTATTCTTTTTTATACACTAGGATTGAGGTATTAAGATGGCTGAAATTTCAGCTGTCTTAATTGTTTTGCATGTTGCAAGGTGGTTTCACCAATTTCAATACCGCCTGTCATACGAGCCAATTCTAAAATAAGTTGCTCTTCTTCTAGTGCAACGATGGTACTACTTGCAGGATCTGTTTGTAGTTTTTTCACCAATAGGTGTTGATCGGACTGGGCCGCAACCTGAGCTTGGTGAGTAATACATAAAATTTGAACGTGTTGCCCCAAGCCTGCCAATAAGCGCCCGACAATTTCAGCGGTACCACCACTGATTCCGACATCAATCTCATCAAACACTAAAACTTCTGCTTCAGTTTTTTCGGCATTCATCACTTGCATGACCAATGCAATACGTGACAGCTCACCACCAGAAGCGACACGTGCCAGCGGTTGAGGTGGAATCCCTTTATTGGCAGTAAAGAGCAATTGAATAAAGCTTAAACCTTCAGCAGAAACTTGTTCCAGCGGTTCAAATTTAAATTCAAAATGTGCTTCTGGTAGCGCCAGTTGTTTGACTTGCTCAGTCAGTTGCTTGGCTAAAGGTTCAGCAGCATCACGACGAATCTGATCTAAATGTTGTGCTTTCTCTACAAACAGTAGATGAGATTGTTCAACTTGCTCAGCGAGGGTTTCAGGATCTTCAAGTTGATGTAGTTGCTCTAATTCATTTTGCCATGTTTCATATTGCTGTTTGAGTTCATCGGGCTGAATACGGTATTTACGTGCCAAGCGATGAAAGACTTCGAGTTGTGTATTTAGCTCATCCATACGTTCAGGATCAAAACTTTGACGGTCTATAAACTGACGTAAATTTGCCGTTGCGTCATCAATTTCACTTTGTGCGTTGATCAATGAATTGTAAATTTCAGACAGCAGTTCACTTCGTCCAGCATGCGATTCTAAACGTCGAATAATTGAAGAAATTTCTTGGGTAATATTTTGTTCAGATTCATCAAGAACATTTAAGCTATAGCCACAGTCTTGCATGATGTGTTCATGGTGACTTAAACGATCAAATTCTTGTTCGATTTCTTTATAATCAATACGAATGACATCTTCGAGTTCTTCAAGTTGTAATTTTAAAGTGTCAATACGTTGCAGGCGATTGGCTTGTGCATCAATCGCTGCTTGATGTGTACGAATATTTTTTTGCCAAGTGCTATACGCATCCCGCACATCTTGCGCAGGCTGATAAAAATTACTATAACGATCTAACCAGTGCTTAGGGTAGGGCGGCTCAAGCAGTTGTTGTTGGCTATGTTGACTGTATAGCTGTACCAAGAGGCGTCCAAGTTCTTTCAATTCAGCGAGGCTACTAGGACGGCCATTGATCCATGCTTTGCTGCGACCTGTTGCAAAGATCACCCGTCTTAAATGGATTTCACCAGATTCATCATCTAATTCATGAGTGTTGAGCCAATTTGCTTCCGGGCTCTGTGCTTGATAGCTAAAAACGGCGGTAATATCGGCTTTTTCAGCGCCATAACGCACATAATTGGTATCGGTACGCTCTCCTAAACAGGCTGACAACGCATCTAATAATAATGATTTACCCGCACCTGTTTCACCTGTAAGCACGTTGAACCCTTGCTCGATATCAATAGCAAGGTTATCGGCTAAAGCAAAATTGATCAGATTTAAGTGTGTCAGCATAAACGCATCCAAGCTGCGAACGGTGAAGTTCTAAGATAGTGAAGTTTTGTTGTGGTCACAAGTCAGAACGTATTCTAATACGAAGTAATTTTAAGCATTCTAAATAATTTTAATATGAAAATGTAATTTCCTTTGCTTAAGTTGCCAGTAAAAACATCAAAATAGATAAATCCTATTGAATTAGATAAAAAATGAAGCAAATATCTAGATTTTTTATGACTGATTTTATGCAATAGACATTTGAATCTATTGATCTGCATCTTTTATCAGCCAATATTGAAACAAGACATTTCTTCAGTCTAAGTAGGAAATAAATTGATCATGCATTGGGTGGACATTCTTGGTGACAACTATTATGGTTTTTGGTCTTTATTGTTAGAGAAGCTTAAGCTTTGATCTAAGCGGACGGAGAAAACAGACTAAAAATAGAAATCGCTTAAGCTTAAAAACATAGATTGATTAGTTTGCGGAGCAACATTAAACTACATCGAACATAATTTTTATAAATGCGCATTATCTGGAGAATACGCATGTCAGCTCAGTATGATCATGTATCAGTAGTTAAAAAATCTAATGTATATTTTGGCGGTTTATGTATTAGCCACACTGTGCAGTTTGAAGACGGAACCAAAAAGACTTTAGGGGTCATTCTTCCAACAGAAGAAGCTTTAACATTTGAAACACATGTGCCTGAACGCATGGAAATTATTTCTGGTGAATGTCGCGTTAAAATCGCAGACAGTGAAGAAAGTGAGTTGTTCCGCGCAGGTCAGTCATTCTATGTGCCTGGTAATAGTCGTTTTAAAATTGAAACGGATGATGTTTTAGACTACGTTTGCCATTTAGAAGGCTAATGAAAAAAGCTTTGCTTAAAGTAGACCTATGCTGTTGTTTTAAATTAGGCAAAGAATTTTTAAGCGAAATCGGTTAAACTAAAGCATCAAATAGAATCCTGTAAAGTTGGCTTTGCAGGATTTTTCATTTCTATCATCATGTTGTTAATGAGGTTGTTCATGGCGAAGTCCGAATATTATTATGGCGTTCATTCAGTGGAGTCATTATTGGAGTTAGAACCTGAACGTGTTTTAACCTTATTTACCTTAAAAGGTCGTGATGATCAGCGTTTACAGCGCATTCTCCAGCTTGCAGAGCCTTTTGGAATCAGTGTCCAAAAAGCAAGTCGCGATAGCTTGGAAAAGTTGGCAGGTCAACCTTTTCACCAAGGTGTGGTTGCAGCTGTTCGCCCACATCCTGTATTAAATGAAAAAGATTTAGATCAGCTTTTAGAGTCAACCCAACAACCTTTATTGTTGGCTTTAGACCATATCACAGATCCGCATAATCTAGGCGCATGTATCCGTACAGCGGCAGCTATGGGTGTAGAAGCGGTGATTGTTCCGCGTGACCGTGCGGCAACATTGACTCCAACTGCACGTAAAGTTGCGGCAGGTGGGGCTGAAAAGGTGAAGTTTATTCAAGTGACCAATTTGGCGCGTACGCTTGGACAAATCAAAGAAAATTATAATGTTCGTGTGGTCGGTACTATGCTCGATGAAAAAGCATTACCTATTCAGAAGTTTGATTTTACAGGAACACCGGTATGTGTGGTGATGGGCGCAGAGGATACAGGATTGCGTCCAATCACCCAATCGCAATGTGACCAAACGGTATTTATCCCAATGGCTGGAAACTTACAAAGCTTAAATGTAAGTGTGGCTACTGGTATGGCGTTGTATGAGGCATGCCGTCAACGTCAACAAAGTGAATGATTTAATTTAAGTTATATCAGTAAGATTAGAGAAGCAACATGATGACCTCCCGTACTCAAGGCTACATGTATGTCGCCATTACAATGTGTATTTGGGGAGGTTTCACAATTACCTCAAGACTGAATGCAATTTGGCATATCAGTCCATGGGATATCACAGCATTACGCTTTTCTTTGGCATTTTGTATTCTGATGCCGATTTTAATCTATAAAAAAGACACGGCTTTTCTATTTAACAAACAACCTTTTATTTTGGCGATGATTGGCGGTGTTGCCTATTGTTTGACGTCATATACTGCATTTCACTTTGTCCCTGCAGCACATGCTGCCATTTTTTTAAATGGTTGTATTCCATTGTGTACAGCTTTAGCTGGTTTTTTACTTTATCGCCAACCATTTGATAAACATATATGGATTAGTTTAAGCATCATGCTCTCTGCGATTTCTGTGATGAGTTTTCTGATGTATAGCGAAACAGGCATTGCTTTTGGTATTGGTGATTTACTGTTTTTTATCAGTGCAATTTGGTGGGGGACTTTTACCGTATTACTGCGTCAATGGCAACTTTCCGCATGGCACGCCATGGCAGGTGTTGCGATTTGGTCGGCGATCGTTTATGTCCCGATTTATTTGTTGTTTTTACCTAAGCATTTAGATCAAGTGTCCACAGCACATTTGGTTATGCAAACGTTGTTTCACGGTATTTTTGTGGTGATCATTGCGACTTTGGCCTATGTCGAAGCAATTAAACGGTTAGGTGCTTTTAAAACAGGCAGTATCGTCACACTTGCGCCCTTTATTGCCGCAATAATCGCCGTACCCTTGTTAAATGAACCGATAAGCCTTGCAATGATGTGCGGTTTGATTGGTATGGGCATTGGTGCTTTACAGCCTTGGCGTTGGTTTACACATAAAGACAGTTTGCAAAAGCAGTTGGACGAGAAGAAATAGATCAAACAGGTTAAATTGATACAAAACTGATTGATAGAAACCTATTTTAAGGTGATGAGGCACATAATTTACTGCTGTGCCTGTTTTAGATACTGTTGATGTAAAGACTCTAATTTTGCGTATAGATGATCAATATGCCCATCATTGAGCACAATATTATCTGCTAATTTTTGCTTTTCATGACGTGGCATTTGAGCTGCAATAATTTTCTGAATTTGTTCGATGGATTGGCCATCTCGTTGTGAAGCACGTAAGATTTGCATGTCCTCACTGGTATCAATCAGTAGAGAGCGCTGGGTGAGTTCATGTTGGTTGGTCTCAAAAAGCAGGGGAGAAACCAAAATTACATAAGGACTGGTTGCTGCTTGTAATTGTTGAATAATCTCAGTGCGAATCGCAGGATGGGTAATTGATTCAAGTTGTTGTCGTGCTAATGGGTCTTTAAAAATATGTTCTCTCAATGCACGACGATCAAGTTCACCATTGCTTAATAGTACCCAATCCCCAAAAACGTCTTTAATTTGTTGAAGCGCGGGCTGTCCTTTTTCAACAATTTCTCTTGCAACAATATCAGCATCAACAACTGTAATCCCTTGGGTTTCGAACCACTGACTTGCTGCGGATTTACCGCTACCAATTCCACCTGTTAAACCCAAGATAAACGTCATTGCGCATTCCTAATACTGTGTTGAAATTATTGACCCAAATATACTTTCATAATTTGCTCACCCCATAAAAATGCAATCCATCCTGCAATTGCAATATAAGGACCAAAGGCAAAAGGCACATTTTCTTTACGAATCTTAAGTAAAATAATACCAATGATCGCACCCACTACAGAAGACAATAGGATAATTAACGGTAACATCAATGGCCCCATCCAAGCGCCAAGTGCAGCAAGCAGCTTAAAGTCACCATAGCCCATGCCTTCTTTGCCTGTCACTATTTTAAATAGATAGTAGACAATCCAAAGACACAGGAAGCCAATAATATAACCCCAAATTGCAGCACTTGCTGTTGTATATAAATGGAATGAGTTAATGCCTAAACCCATTGCCGCCAAAGTTAAGGTAAAACGATCGGGGAGTAACTGAGTGTCAAAATCAATAAAAGTAAGCGTGATCAGTACCCAAGTCAGTAGTACACCAAATACCATTTGTAATGTAGGGCCATAAATAGCAACCACTGTTAATGAACACACCGCAGTTAAAAGCTCAACAAATGGGTAACGAATACTAATCGGGTTTTGACACGAAGCGCATTTGCCTCTTAAAACCAACCAACTGATGATGGGGATATTTTGATACCAGCGAATTGGGGTTTTGCATTTGGGACAGGTAGAGGCCGGTTGACTGAGACTGAGCTTTTCTTCATCAATCACAATCTGTTGTGAGCCTGCCAGTAGTTGGCATTCTGCATGCCATTCCTGCCGCCATTCTTTTTCCATCATTTTGGGGGTGCGGTAAATGACCACATTTAAAAAGCTACCCACACATAAGCCTAAAACACCAACAGTCAGATAGAGTGCTGTCGGTGATTGAATCAGAAAATTTAATAAATCATTGAGCATGTTCATCATTATCCGCCAACAATTGAGCCCATTTGGAAGATTGGAAGATACATTGCAATCACTAAGCCACCCACAAGTACGCCTAAGATGGCCATAATTAACGGCTCCATCATGGAGGTTAAACCATCAACAGCATTGTCGACTTCATTTTCAAAATGTGATGCAACTTTATCTAACATCGCATCAAGCGCCCCCGACTCTTCACCAATAGCGACCATTTGAACAGCCATAGAGGGGAACTTATTCGTTGCACGCATGGCAAAGTTAAGCTGTTGCCCAGTCGCTACATCCTCACGGATTTTCATTACAGCTTGTTCATAAACCACATTGTTGGTTGCGCCTGCGGTTGATTCTAACGCTTCGATGAGTGGTACACCTGCTGCAAAAGTTGTGGCAAGGGTACGGCTATAACGGGCAATAATGGCTTTATAAACCAGATCACCAAAAATAGGCAGTCTCAGTGCTGTGCGATCTAAAAAATTTTGGAATTTTTTACTGCGCTTTTTTGCTTCTAAAAAAACAGTAATTACAACACCAATAAATAAGATTAGAATAAACCAATATTTTTGCATCCAGTTAGACATATTCACCACCATTTGAGTAAAGGCGGGTAAGTCTGCACCAAAGGAACTAAATAAACCCTGAAATACAGGGACCACTTTCACCATTAAAATAATGGTAACAATAATAGCGACGACAACCACTGAAATTGGATATTTCATGGCTTTTTTAATTTTTTGCTTGAGTAATTCACTTTTTTCTTTATAGATTGCCACACGGTCGAGCATGGTTTCTAAGGCACCAGATTGTTCGCCAGATTCCACTAATGAACAAAATAAGTTGTCAAAATAACGTGGATATTTTCTTAACGCGCCAGCAAAAGTATTTCCCCCTTCAACCTCACTTTTAATCCCGAGTACAATTTCACGCATAGAGGGATTTTCTAGTCCTTCTGCAACGATTTCAAAACTTTGTACTAAAGGCACACCCGCTTTCATCATTGTGGCGAGTTGTCGTGTAAAAATGGTAATATCTAAAGTGGAAATGCCTTTTTTCATTAAACCTTCAAGAATATTTTTCTTTTTTTCTCGAATGGTTTTAATGGTGATGCCTTGTTTTCGTAAGGTAACTTTGGCAAGCGCCATATTGCGAGCAGGTAGTTCGCCTTTGATTTTGATCCCTTTACGATCAACCCCGTCATAAGCAAATGTAGGCATCATTTGAGCTTTTTTAGCTGCCATCATAATTTCCTTGAATATTGATTATATTTATTCGCTGGTCACACGGTTAATTTCTTGTAAAGAAGTTAAGCCATTGATGACCTTAATTAATCCTGAACGTCTTAGATTATCAAACCCCAATTTTTCAGATGCCGCCGCAATTTGAAGTGCATTGCCATCTTCCATGATAATTTTTGAAATTTCAGGTGTTACTTTCATCACTTCGTAGATCCCGACTCGACCTTTATAGCCTTCACGGCATTCACTACAGCCCACAGGTTGAAAAATTTGTAAGTCAGGATTGCTTAAGTCTTGTTCGGTAAAGCCCATTTCTAACAGACTCTGTCTAGGGATTTCAACGGGTGCTTTACAATGATTACATAAACGTCTTGCCAATCGTTGTGCAATCACAAGATTGACTGAAGTGGCAATGTTAAAGGAAGGCACGCCCATATTACGTAAACGGGTTAATGTTTCAGGTGCGCTGTTGGTATGTAGGGTAGACATCACCATATGCCCCGTTTGAGCCGCCTTGATCGCAATTTCAGCAGTTTCGAGGTCACGAATCTCACCGACCATGATAATGTCTGGATCTTGACGTAGGAATGATTTTAGTGCCACAGAAAATGTGAGGCCTGCTTTAAGATTGACATTGACTTGATTGATCCCTTCCAAGTTAATTTCGACTGGATCTTCGGCTGTGGAAATATTTGAACTTTCTGTATTGAGGATATTTAAGCCCGTATAGAGAGAAACAGTTTTACCTGAACCCGTGGGTCCTGTAATCAGTAACATGCCTTGAGGTTTTTCTAAGGCTTCCATAAATAGTGCTTTTTGCTTTTCTTCATAACCCAATGCATCAATACCCAACATGGCACTGGAAGGATCAAGAATACGCAGTACCAATTTTTCGCCAAATAATGTCGGTAATGAGTTCACACGAAAATCAATGGCTTTGGTTTTTGAGAGTTTTAACTTAATACGACCATCTTGTGGAACACGCTTTTCAGAAATATCCATTCTAGACATCACTTTTAAGCGGGATGCCAAACGACTTGCCAATTGTAAGGGGGGATTGGTAATGGTTCTTAGTACCCCATCTACACGATAACGCACACGATAACTTTTTTCATAAGGTTCAAAGTGTAAATCTGATGCACCCATACGAATTGCATCAACCAAGAGTTTATTAATATATTTAACAATAGGTGCTTCTTCTTCAGATGCTTCGTCATCATCTTCTGATGGCGGTGTGTCATCAGTGGCAATAATATCAACATCAAAATCTTCATCACCAAAATTAAAGCTTTCTTCTACTGTAAAGTGCTTTTCTAAATATTTTTCTAATTTATGATGTTCAACAATAATTGGTTCAATATTTAAACCGCAGTTAAAACGAATAGCATCTAGCGCCTCTATATTGGTTGGATCACTGGTGGCAACGTATAAAATATTGCCGCGTTGAACCAAAGGAATTACTTTATGTTTGCTAACTAAATTTGGGTCAATAAGCTCCTTGGGCAGCATTTCAGGATTAAAGCTGTCCAAATCAAAAATGGGCTCTCCAAATTCTTCGGAGATCATTTCAGCAATGATCAATGGTGGTATGTTGAGTTTTTCACTGAGATAGGCAACAATACTCACTTTATTTTTTTGAGCGTTACTGAGCGCATCTTTCATTTGCTGGGCAGATAAAAAACCTTCGTCGACTAAGCGACGGATATACCCCGAAAACTTAGGTGAACCATTTTGCATAGACATCCCCAAAACACATTAAATTTCATTTTATAATTGGAATACGAAAATTATACGATGATCCTTAGAAATATCTAGAATTAAACGTATTTTTTTATAGAAACATATTTGAAAATAACTTGAGCCAATCAGGCTTTTTGGCATTATCTTTGAAATGATTTATGTTTCATTCCTTTTATTAAAGCATGACTTTAAATGAGATGACTGAATTGATAAAGAAAAAATACTTTAAAAATATAAATTCCGTGTAGAATGTGCACATTTTCGATAAAAGGTTAGATGTATGTCGGGTTCGACTATTACTCCTTGGGTTGTCGGCAATTGGAAAATGAACCCAATGCAAGCGAATTCGCAACAGCTCATTCAAGATTTAAATCAGTATTTACAACAATCACCGATTAAAGAACAACAATGCTATATTGGTGTTGCGCCTATTTCTATTGCATTACTGTCTGTGCAAAAATTACTTAAAGATGCACATTCACCAGTCAAAGTTGTCGCACAAGATCTTTCTCAAATGGCCGGCACTGGTGCTTATACTGGCGAAGTCAGTGCTGAACTACTCAAAGACAGCCAGATTGATTATGTGTTGATTGGGCACTCAGAACGTCGAGAAATTTTTGGCGATGATGTTGCAAAAATTAAAGCGAAATTATCAAATGCTTTAAATGCTGGGCTTCAAGTGATTTATTGTGTAGGTGAAAGCTTAGAACAACGTGAAGCAGGGCAAGCTGAGCAAGTGGTCTTACAACAAATTTGTGATCTCGCAGCAGTTGTAAAAGCAGAGCAATGGCACAATATTGTGATTGCCTATGAGCCAATTTGGGCGATAGGAACAGGCAAGACAGCTTCTCCACAAGATGCCCAGACAATGCATGCAAAAATTCGTGAAGGTTTAACTCAAATTACAGCCCAAGCTCAACATACAGCGATTTTGTATGGCGGTAGTGTCAAACCTGAAAATGCAGTAGAGTTAGCTGCTTGTCCAGATATCAACGGTGCGCTGGTTGGTGGTGCATCACTTAATGCTGAGTCATTTTATAAAATTGCTCAAGCATTTGCTAAAACAGAAGAATAGGAGTTCAGCATGCATACATTTGTGCTGGTTGTACATATCATCTTGGCCGTTTTGATGATCGGGCTTATCCTCGTTCAACATGGTAAGGGTGCAGATGCAGGTGCATCATTTGGTGGCGGTGGTGCTGCAACAGTATTTGGTGCTTCAGGTTCTGCAAGCTTTTTAACTCGTTTAACTGCGATTCTCACGGCTTTGTTTTTTATCACCAGTTTAAGTTTGGCGGTGTTTGCTAAAAAACAAACTTCAGATGCGTATGGTTTAAAATCTGTACAGACCAGCTCTCAAACGGCACCAGCTGCACCAGCCAATACGGGTGAAACTTCACCAACTGCACCAAAAACTGGCGAATAATGCCATTTAGTTCTTTCTTTTTCTGAATGATGCGACTAGAATGCGTCACAGCTGCGGTGGTGGTGGAATTGGTAGACACGCTACCTTGAGGTGGTAGTGCTTTCGGGCGTGGGGGTTCAAGTCCCCCCTTCCGCACCAACAATGAACCAGATTGTTGGTGTTAGCAGCTGAAAAACATTGATGCGGGATGGAGCAGTCTGGTAGCTCGTCGGGCTCATAACCCGAAGGTCGTTGGTTCAAATCCAGCTCCCGCTACCAATTTAATTAAGATGCAACTTAATTAAAGATCATCTAAGTTGAAAAGCTTAGCTGATGTGTGAATTTGCAGTGTTGTTGCGGGATGGAGCAGTCTGGTAGCTCGTCGGGCTCATAACCCGAAGGTCGTTGGTTCAAATCCAGCTCCCGCTACCATTTTGATTAAGGTGCAACTTAATCAAGCAAGAAATTCAATGTATCGGTTAACGATAGATTGAAAAAAATAAATTTCTTGTGTATAATTTTGCAACGCTGATGCGGGATGGAGCAGTCTGGTAGCTCGTCGGGCTCATAACCCGAAGGTCGTTGGTTCAAATCCAGCTCCCGCTACCAAGTTTCTAAAAGGGCTCACAGATAGGTGGGTCTTTTTTGCATAGTGAGCTTCGGTTTACTGTGCGATAATAGGGGCGATTACGCCCTTTTTTATTGGCTATCGTGTAGTGTGGACATCAATTGGTCAAAAAGACATGCTTCACTATAGTAAGTTTGAATTAGTCCGATGAGCGATTGAATCGCACAAATATGACGAGAGTAAATGAAGCTATCAAATAAAACTCAAGCACTTCAAGATCTAATCACTCCTGCAGTGCAAGCTTGTGATGTAGAACTTTGGGGAATCGAATTTATTCCTCAAGGTAAGCGTTCTTTATTGCGTATTTATATCGACAAAGACGTTGTGGAAAATGCTGAACCAACAATCAATGAAGATGGTGAAGCAGAATTGGGTCGTGGTATTGGCGTACAAGATTGTGTACGTGTGACGCAGCAAGTTGGTGCAATATTAGATGTACATGATCCAATTTCAGGTGAGTATGCTTTAGAAGTATCATCTCCAGGTTGGGATCGACCATTCTTCCAGTTGGCACAGTTAGAAAAATACATCGGACAACAAGTTGCATTACGTTTGATTGCTGCAGTTGAAAATCGCCGTAAATTCCAAGCAAAATTAATTGCTGTAGATTTAGAAAATGAATTCATTCAAGTCGAAGTTGAAAAACAGCAAGTACTTGAGATCGATAGCAACAATATAGACAAAGCGAATTTGATCTTTCAGGATTAATCCAGAAATAGAAATCTGAATAAATAGGTGACTTATGGCTCGTGAAATTCTCACCGTCGTTGAAACGGTTAGTAATGAGAAAGGTGTAAGTCGTGAAGCAATTTTTGAAGCGCTTGAACAGGCTTTAGTTGCAGCGACGAAAAAGAAATTCTACGAAGGAACGAATTCGGAAGAAGCTCAGTTACGTGTAGAAATTGATCGTAAAACAGGTGATTACAGCACTTTCCGTCAATGGGAAGTTGTTGCTGATGAAGATCATGAAATGCCAGCATGTCAAGATGCGATTTCTGATGTTGATCCTGCTCAATGGTCAATTGGTGATATCCGTGAGTTAGAAGTACCATCAATTGATTTTGGTCGTATTGCAGCGCAGATTGCCAAACAAGTCATTGTGCAAAAAATTCGCGAAGCTGAACGTGCTTTAGTGGCAGATGCTTATGAAGCTAAAGTCGGTGAATTGATCTATGGTGAAGTGAAAAAACAAACCAAAGATGGCTTCATCATTGACTTGGGTGATAATGCAGAAGCGTATTTAGCGCGTGAAGAAATGATTCCTAAGGAAATTCTTCGCCCTAAACAGCGTATGAATGCAATTCTTTATAATGTGAACCGTGAAGGTCGTGGTGCACAATTATTGTTGTCACGTGCTAAACCTGAAATGCTGATTGCATTAATGAAA